TATAAGATTTGATCATATTAACAATGACAAATATAGCGTCTTCAACATATGATACCATATTATTGAATTGATCAGCGCATACTTTGATATCAAACACATCGTCACTACTATGATATTTTTTATGGTGAGATTTATACTTCGTATTCATTGCATACTCTTCGCTATTGTAGAAATATTAATTCGATCAAATCGCTTTATACGTGTAGGACCACTTTCGACAGTTTATTATCCACCATAAAATCGCATGATGCCACACTATAAAAGGCTCACATTTGTCATCTTCTTATTCACTATCTCGAACCTTATCTTTTTGTACAGGAAGACAAGTTTACCTACGAAAGCCTTCTTCCAATGAAACGGTGAGATTATACATAACTAGTTTATACTTATCAAATTAGTACCATAAATTAAATTCATATATGTCAACAAGATTTCTTACTTCGAATTGATCTGTTGATTAGAATACTCTCAACATAAATCAATCTTATTAAATTGAGACAATGGCTACAAAAGTCTTGGAAGTCCCCCACACAATCATTTATAAGTCTTTCAGACACTAACTCGAACTAACCTTCGAGACAATAACTCAAATTCTATCCCTCAAGGTTTTGAAAAACACTGGTACATAGTGGAAGTAACCTCATAGTACTGGTACAAGTGGAAGTGATCCTTCCACTTGTACCAGTACTATGAGGTTAACTGTTCTGTACATGTAAATGATGTGTAGCCGATATGATATGTATCTATTCGTTTCGAGCACAGCTCGCGGTTTGAATAAATTTGTTCTGTGAAGTAAACTTCCATCCTTTATTTGAAACTGCACGAAGTCAGTGAATGTTCAATCTCCTGCTACACTCAGTATGATGGATGTGGAAAGTAGTCAGTTTTCTTGCTGTAACATGTAGTGGAGGAAGAAGTTGACATACTCTCGTGAGAGGAAAAAGTCGAAATAAGTTTCAGTTGGCAAGACATGTTTATGATAAACACGGTATGTTCAAACTTTATTCGTTAGCGAAATAGATCTGCAGAAAGTATAGAAGTTACGGTTCCGATTCCGAGCGTATTCCATGCTGACTGAAAATGTTTATGTTATCTGTGGATAGACTGAAAGTAGTTATGAAATTTCTCTACTGAGCTCAGAAACTACAATCTGTACAGTTCAGAATGTATGTTTGCTTCATCTATCTTATAGTCTTATACTAGTAGTTTCGAAAAGAATCTATACTTTCACAAGTAGTTTAAACTATAATAAACTATTCAAGTAATGCTCAAATCTAATAGTGTTATAATTTTAATAATTTGAAGTGAAAATTCTGAATATACTCACATCGTAAAATTGCCAAACGAATTAAAATAAATTTTCCCTGACCGTGCAAGAAAAGCGAAAAAAGACCACCAGAAAAATGCCATTATTTAACTTCTGAACGATAAATATAACAACTCTCATTATCCACCTAATTTCGTCTAAATCGAAAAAGTTTGATTATATAACAAAAATAGTAGAGAAAACTAAACACTAATTCTTTCAATGTTTGAAAAAAGTCAAAACTGCAACTACATAACATATAACAATACATATACAGATAAAATATTTCTTTTTCTATATGTGACCGACGGCTGAAATCAACTCCATGCTCACTAAACTCTGCTGTACAAGTATGCAAGACCTAACATAGTAGCAATGTTAATGTTTGCGCATATTGTGGACAGAAATGATCAACTGATGGATGTAAACTTTGGAAGAGAAGAATATTACATATACCGAAAGGTTTTCTAAGACTTTAATGCCAGAATATTCTGGTTATGAAATCTAGTTTCTATTCGGTATTAGGATTGAAGACAGGTGATCTAATTCATCTTCGGCTGAGGTTTTGAGGAGTAATACAGTTCAAGCGGTCACTATTCAGTTGAAGTTTAGTATCCTCATCCTTGTGATAAGTGGAAGTGATCCTTGTGATAAGTATCCCCATCGCCTTCTCCTTCTTCTTCACCATCTGGACCAGCGTCTGGTCCATCTCAGTCTCCATCGCCTTCTTCCCCAGCTCCTGGTCCTTCTTCCTCAACTCCACCATCTCCATTAGCTCCATCGTCTCGTCCAACTTCGGGTCCATCTCAGTCTCCATCGCCTTCTTCTTCAACCACGCCAGCTCCTGGTCCTTCTTCCTCAACTCCCCCATCTCCATTATCTCCATCTTCTAATCCCACTCCAGGTCCTTCTAAGTCTCCATCGCCTTCTTCAACCACGCCAGCTCCTGGTCCTTCTTCCTCAACTCCACCATCTCCATTATCTCCGTCTTCTAATCCCACTCCAGGTCCTTCTCAGTCTCCATCGCCTTCTTCAACCACGCCAGCTCCTGGTCCTTCTTCTTCAACTCCACCATCTCCATTATCTCCATCTTCTAATCCCACTTCAGGTCCTTCTCAGTCTCCATCGCCTTCTTCAACCACGCCAGCTCCTGGTCCTTCTTCCTCAACTCCACCATCTCCATTATCTCCATCTTCTAATCCCAGTCCAGGTCCTTCTCAGTCTCCATCGCCTTCTTCAACCACGCCAGCTCCTGGTCCTTCTTCCTCAACTCCACCATCTCCATTATCTCCGTCTTCTAATCCCAGTCCAGGTCCTTCTCAGTCTCCATCGCCTTCTTCAACCACGCCAGCTCCTGGTCCTTCTTCCTCAACTCCACCATCTCCATTATCTCCGTCTTCTAATCCCAGTCCAGGTCCTTCTCAGTCTCCATCGCCTTCTTCAACCACTCCGGCTCCTGGTCCGTCTTCCTCAACTCCCCCATCTCCATTATCTCCATCTTCTAATCCCAGTCCAGGTCCTTCTCAGTCTCCATCGCCTTCTTCAACCACTCCAGCTCCTGGTCCTTCATTCTCAACTCCACCATCTCCATCACCTCCGTCTTCGAATCCCACTGCAGGTCCATCTCAGTCTCCATCGCCTTCTTTTTCAACAACGCCAGCATCCGGCCCTGCTCCTCTTTCGAGGACTCCACCATCTCCATTTTCTCCAGCTTCTACTCCAAGCCCATCAGCTTCCACTCCTGAGCTTCCTCCGGGTCCAAACTCACCTTCATCCTCACCATCAGGCTCTCCTCCATCATCTTCTAGCCCAGGTGGTTCCCCAGATTCGAGCCCCCCTTCAAATTCTAATCCAGTAGCCTCTCCTGGTCCATCATCTGTGATTCTTCCTCCTCCTGGAAGCCCATCTTCGAGTTCATCAAATTCTCCTTTCCCACCCACCCCAGGATCTTCAGGGCCCGGTACAAACTCTTCCAGCCCTGGACCACTACCATCACCCTCGCCATCTGATAACAACACGACGAAGATCGTAGTTCCCATCGTTGCATCGCTTGCAGGACTGGGATTACTTCTAACTTGCTGCTTTGGTCTCGCTTGCCTCAAAAAACGAAGGCGTGAAGCTGGTGATTTTATGTGATCGGATACCTGCAAAACTGTACTCCCATGTTTCCTTGTACATCTATTTCCTACGGATAATATAAGTCACACTTTTGCATCGACACATGAGAGTGATCACCGATGAAATTCTCACCATGCCATCAAGCATATGTGGGAGTGGCAGCAGCCTGGTTGTCGTGACAGAATGTGATGACGAGGATGAAACTCCGATGAGCTCATGTAAATAAATGATTCTGCTCATTTTGTACATTCTCAGGGACTGGTCGCACGCACCGCGAGTCAATCAATACTGTCGTGGATCGATGTCTCGTTAAGGTTTGTAGATTGGCAGTGCTTTACATTAGAGCATATTCTTGATCCAGACACGTAGTGTACATTAGCAAGTCTTAGATCTTCATAGAGGAACATGTATTTTCAGATTCCTTGAGAGATGAGAAGGACGGATGACGAATCCAAAAACGTGTGAAATATTGATACAGCTTCTCATGTGAAAGTTGTACCTCCTTGTAACCTTGTGTTGGATATGCCATGATTACTAACTGGTCTTCATTCATAAAGCAAGCTCGACGGTTCTACGATTTTAAGATTTGGGTTTTCCTTTGAAGTATGTATCCGATTGATGTACCTCTGGTACAGCCATCACATGATTACTTCGTAATCAGATATCTTCTCTTCGAGCCCAATTACAGCTTGCAAAGCTTTCAGTCTGACTTCCAATTGAGGATTACTCGAGCACAATCCCGAATATAAGTGGTCAGAATTTAGCATCAGAGACATAGTGCCTCTTGATCAAATGAGTAAGAACAGCTGTAACAAGAATCAATCTTGCTTTTCTGCTCTGTTCTCATTGTGAGCACTGGGGTTTGTGGATTTCTTTGTTGCAGTGATTGAATTCATCGGGTGAAACTGTTAGCTGCACACTGATGCTGTCAACCATATTTGTACGTTGAATCCCAATTGCTAGATGTAATGATATAACAAAAGTCTTGTGGGATCCCATGCATCCCAGATGCAGCATCTGGGATGCATGGGACGCTTAGGCATACGCATCATGCATCTGGGATGATCCATCCCATGATGCGTATGTACACTCAGCTTCCGTTTTGGCCTCAGCCGCTTGCTAAAAAGCCTTCTAAATCCACAATTCATAGATCCAGTGTTCGACACTAGTGAAATAAACCTCAGCAGCATAATAGCCCTGATCTCTCAACCTCTGCAAGGCTGACGAGTTTGAACAAAACAATACCGAGTATTTTTTATCATCGGTGGTTAACATACGACATACTCATTTTGCACGCAAATTTACACCAAGCAACAGCCCATGAAGAAAAATCCCAACTAAGGGTGGTTAAGTGAATGAGGCCTGCAATGAATCCTACCTTCCAGGTTCGATCACATAGGAAATAAAAATGGAAATTCAAAAATTGCAGAACAAAATTGCACATTCCAATAAATCAAGTCTCTCCAGCAGAACAAATATTTCGAAATTCAAGCAGCACTGACGAGATAAATACATACTCGTTGATGAGTGCTACAACCAAGGAGAGCCAATGACTGGTAGGACTCGAGCTCATTCGTCAGCAAAGTCACGATATCGTCTCACGTTTTATAAAAAAGAAGAATGACATGACGGTGACGGTTGTCATAAAACAATATCTTTACTTCACAAGTCACAGTGATATCATGACTTTGATAAAAGCCCAACAAGGGTACTGACTCAGTGAGTAGGATGTGGTCAATATGCACAAATTCCGGCACACAGGTCATTATTTCGAATCCTCAAAGCTGCCCATGTCGCAATTCTCTACTACACAAGTGGCAGAAAATGCCGTTCGATATATCTTCGACTCGATAGTCGAAGTCAGCCACTATCGAATATCAATCAACTACGATCGCGCTAGAGTGAACCAGTCTTAGATTCGAAGCTTCGCTTCCATCCAGCCTAGTTAATAATCGTTGGAGCAACAGGACAAAACAAAGTAAACCATATTTCACTGACTTGTACGGGACAATATATCGTGAAAGCCTCCTTCACTTTGAGCTGCTGAAGTATTTGTTGAGGCCGGGCATGATTTCCGGTGCACGGTTTGCAACGTACATTCTCACGCCGTGGTCCTTGTAGCTCTTGCCTTCGCTGAAGTTCTCAAGGACACCAGCTGCCCTGTCATCCTTGTTAATTCTGCATACCAACAACAGTCTACCAGTAAGCCGAGATACAATTGTGCCTAGTGTATCCACTCCCACATACTACACGGCAATTCAGTGAATCCAGTGAATTGTAACCTCACTCTACGAACAAGGGGTCCTACGACGAACATGGGGCCGTGTGAGTTTAACTTCTTACTTTACCAACGTCCTTAGCATTTTCTAGGAAGCTTCTAAGTTTGCATAAAACGTAGAACAATTGAAAAATTCAGACACATGATGTAACAATATCTGACCTGACGTCCGGATTGATGGCGAGATTGCGAAAGATGCAAAAACCACAAAGTCCAACAGCGGTTCCCATGGCTGCAAACAGTGGGTAGATCTGCACAACAGCACAATGATGTTAATTCCTAGGCTAAAACAGTTTCACATACCTCCAGTCACAAGGGTGGCCCTCTCAGAGTCCTCCCAATCGCTAGTACTTAAGACAACAGTACCATCATTCATAACTAATTCCATACACAGCCAGTTCATCGTCGAAAATTTCCTTCACAATGAGCTTTTCACTCCAATTGTCTTCCACGGCTTACTGGTTTGATAAAGGTAAATTGAGAGTATAGCCTGCAAACATTGGAGAATTCGTTCCAACGATGACCGCTCAACGTAGGCAATCCATGGACAATTCAGAACGTACGCTTGAATGAAATACCGAAGACTGTAAGAAAACTACCCTGATAAAATAAGCGAGACGATAGAGTACTAGAAATTGATAAGACCCACCAGACAGTGACAGAAACTTAAGGTCAAGAGTGATAATAGCGCCCTCAACACAATACCACTCATAGGAGGAAGAGTGCATGCAACAGAGCTTACAAGGGGCCTTCATTATCTAATTCGAAACAGACCATGCTATGTTTCATAGTTCATGTTTCATTTCTCAATGTTTCCGAAGTTCAAAGGTCTTAGCCGCCTGCAACTGATGGTAATGTGGAAATCACTCCATCGTAAAAGATCAGCCTATTGCGTTCACTCCTGGCCTGAATGAACTGACTTTCCGGCCCGTTTGATAGACATGAAGCCATTTCCACAACCTCTTCAACGCTTGAACTCCTTTCGAAGTGGGAATTTGTAGCAACAGCAATCAAAACTCATAGGATTTAACAATAAAATACACATCTACTCAGTAGTTTACGTTGACCTTCAGGCTGCCCCATAAAATCTAGACGTTGGATCAACGCACGACCTCAGCTCACAGGAACCCATTTTTGGAACTGAATCCGCAATCAGAGCCACAAGAAACCTTCCACAGGATTGACTACAAGATGAAAATCCCTAATCAGCTCAGATACAGAGAGCCCTAAATTTCCAGACACGCCGCAAACGAAGCGCGCTATGGAAAAAATAATAACCAGCAACTGGAGAGACAACATTCATAGACTATACGTATCCTTCGCAAACACAATCCAGCACCGCAATCCGCAAAACGCAAAGCTGCAATCTCAGGAAATCGACTTCTCACTTGATAAAAATCTCGTCACGAAGCGGATCAAAGTTTTTCAAAAGACAAAAGGGGCAGAGAACGAAATCGAATAGAGGCAGATTCGTCCCACCTCAGGCCTGATCCATCGGTTTCCCCCGCCCATGATGAGTAAATGAAAAAGGAGCGACGCGCTGATGGGAAATCACGAACGAGAAACAAGAGAACGAGAGCGCAAGCCACGAACTGCGAGCGAGCGAAGATCGACTGCCTCTGGCTCGTCTCGTCTGCCACTGCTCGCTTTTGAGGCAGAGCCCTCGACTCAGCGCTCGGCTGTTCCTCCGCGTCCGATCCCGCGCGATGTGCGACCGCCGCCCCATCGTACGGCGCACGCGCGATCGACCGCAGCCTTCAGATCCGCCTTCCGTAGCAGGCGGTTGGCCCCTCCGCCAACTTTAGCTCCAAATCTGACGCCGCGCCTCGGCGCTGGCCTGCCCGCGGCTCCCACTTAGACGAGGTTTGTTTAGCCGGACTGCCCGCGTCGGGGGAGAGCCGCCTGGGCTCATCTCCGCAGGTCTTCCCTCGCTGACTCGGACGCGCTCCGACCTCGTTTAGTTGGCGTTCATGGCCGTTGTTCTTCAATTTAAAAGCAATTCTTTAATTTCCTTAAACGTTTCAGCTTTGATCTTTAGTTACTAAATGAAATTTTTTCCAATATATTTTCCATTATTTTGCCTTTGGTCTTTATTTGATTTCATGATTTTAGGGCTTGATGGGGAATTCTCTTAGCTTTTGCTATCCACTTGGACAGTTCTAGTTTTGTAACATCTTTAGATGAATGTGTTTTGATTTTACTGATTATTAGAATAGATTGTGTTACAGATATTGGTGTAATAAATTAACGCGTGATGATTCTTCTCATGCTCTATTCTTGAATATATTTATTTAACGAAATTTTTTTAGAAGTAAGATGTATTTAATATTGGGATACCAATTTTTAACCTATGGTATCATTCTTTCGAGGGTTGATAGCGTACCACCAATAATTCTATCCAATTGGCCCCCAAATATTTCTTATTACGGGAATAAGTGCATTTACTGAAAATCGATACCCAACAGATAAATTTCCAACACCCTCTATGCCTTAAATTACAGATTTCTAAAAGGGTGCCTATTCTGAAAAAAAGGTGCACTCGAAAAACATCTCCAATACCAACAGGTTTGAATCACTCCAACTCGCAACCACAGGTTCGAACCAGGGCAAGGGGAGCCGGCGTATTAACTCAGGTCCGCTGAACTTGGCCAGGGCTCTTGGCAGAGCGTTCAGTCGGCGCCCGAAGGGTCGAGGCCGAAGGCTGTCCAGCTCAGCGCGTGCTGCTGCTGCTGCTACTTGGCGTGAGACTCGGGGCCCAGGGCAACATTCGCCTGCAAAATTCGCCCGCTCAGCATTGCATTGCATCGCACTCATTCATAGCCTTTCGGGGCACCCGGACATTCAAAGAATCTGTGGCCGATTTGCTCGTCGATCGTCTGATTGGTCGCAACTTTGCGCTGAGGGTCGATCGAGCGGGTCCCCGTTCGCCGCCTTCCTCTCGTTGCTGACGTCCCGCAGGTGCTTCGTGAAGCTCGAGACAGTATCCCCGCAGGAAATTTCGATGACGACTTGCCGCGCGTTTCTCGGAATCGGTATCCTTGGAATTCATTCTCTCGATTCGCCCGAAGAATTAGAAACCTTTTCTGGTTAAGAAAAGACCGGCACTTTCCAGATCTACCGCTGGGGTACGGAGAGTTCGGACCCTCTCGGCGGAGGAAACGGTCGCAGTATGAAGGTTCTTTGAGACCATCGAATCACACGAGCTGCTTTCTACATCATCTCCGTGTCGGCGACTTCGTTGCCGCCTTGATGTGAAGGACGATGTACGATTTGCGTCAGATGGAAGTTTTGGAAAACAGTGGAGAGTACGAGAAATGTCACAATCACGAGACGATGTCCGTACTTAGTACCCTGAGCAGTGCAGAGGTCGGTGGTAAAGCAAGAGCTTGCTGATTTGACGACTCGTATCATGAGACAGACAGGCAAAAAACGAGAGCTATTGCAGTGGTTCGAAACCCTGGACAGCGATGTCATGCTGGTAGTATGTTGACAGTCGATTCGACTCTTGGTCATGCCCCTGTACTTGCTGTCAATGTGTGACCGCAAGTCAATTTCAATGTTCATTTGTTTGACTGCAACTTGTCATTTTTTGTGCTTTAATTTTTTTACCGAAGCTCAAGCTCTTGCGGGGTCCATGTGTTCGGTTATTCGTGGAAGGGCGACTTCAGACTGTACAAGATTGTTTTAGAAATGTTTTATGTTGCGGAAGATCTAAAGTCAGGGTCAGAATGTTAAATTTCCAAGTTCATGTAGATTGTTCTCACTGCAAGTTTAAGAATGAGGGATATTTGAAAATGATTTATCATAATTTTAAGAGGTAAATTTGAAATTTTCCTTTATTGTCAGTTAGATGATTTTTCAAACTGACCAAGTAGGCTAGAAAAACATAATTCCTCAGTTCAGAGACTCTTCCATGTCATGTAAAAAATAAGCATTTCTAAACATAAAGTGGGCTGGGTGTATACGTTAAAGGGTGGGAGAATTCAGGGCATAGCCAGTGTATACTATTTATTGAAGTGCAAGTAATCTATACTTTAAGGTAATATACGATGTCTTCAGGAGAGTCAAAGACAGTGGATAAATGATTTTTTTTTTTATGTAACGTCAGTTAGTTTCGTGTCAAAAGATAGTGATTATGTATCTGTTAAAATGTAAAAATAGATAAACATAAACAGGTATTATATTGTTCATTCCAAGTTGTAAATTACTAAAGAGTTATAAATTAGCAAATTTTCAATTCTTTTGAAGGGTACAAGTATTCATAGATGTGTTTTTATCTCTGAGGGGAAGTGAAATGTTATGAAAGAAAATTACGCGTACATAAACTCTAACAATTAATTTAGTTTTTATTATGTCAAGATATTTGTGAAAATCAGGCTAATATCATTTGTACTTTCATAGGTACAAACCGATAGATATTACAAAAAACCCTTTCGCAATACTGGCATGCATCATATCAGTTAGGCAAATTTGAACATTTTAATCTCTCACTTGCCAGAATTCTGATATCATGAAAGAGCAGCATGGGAGAATGAAGCTGTATATAAAAATAACATGATTCAACGGTTTTCAGATAAATGAGCACATAAATTGTACTAAAATACAGTAGCTCCTACGAGTGTTCAGTGATAGTGATAGTCACAATATTACGGCCTACACAGAGAGCAATAGTGGAATTGTCTATGTTGCTCTGAATTTGCTAGGGAACTAATTCGCGATACGAGTATTTTCAGAATGCGTGCACATGTATCACGCGCATGCTGTTCCCGTACCAATTTCAGTTCCACTGCTTTCAGCGCTCCTGATATGGACTACGACAATCGCATCTCTTTTATTGGAAGAGGAGCAGACGTCCTTACAAAACTGTCTGTCAAATTCTCAAACCCACTGCTTGAGGCCTATGAAGTAGATACAAGAGATTTGTATGGACCTTCGATGAGTAGAATAAATGGGTCGCCTTCTGACAGCGGGTAATCAAACGGGAAAGAACATTCTATGAACAATCTTTATGTACATATCGCCAGACATACCTGTACAATTCAGTGTACAGAAAACCCAGAAAGAAAACTTAGACCGCTGCTGCCGCCATGGGGTTGTTGGATGGAGGAACTGTCCCTCCGTGGTTGTGCTGGTGATGGTGGTGCTTGTTGTCCACAACGGGAGTGCCCGTGGTGGTTGTGGTGGGTAGAGCGTGCTCGTTGCGGTGACCTCCGAGGTAGAGAGAGAGTGTGTACAGAAGCTTGGTCAAGGTCAGAATGATAATGAAAGCTTCCAGCACTCTGTGACGGATGCTCCTTCCTCCGATGTGAATCTGCTTCCAGGCCAAACAGAAGGCGAGAACCAGCAACAACCAGGCGATCCACGACGTGGCTTGAGCAGCAGCACCACTGTGTCCTCTCCATTCCTTCAAGTGGTGAAGCCCGGTGATAATAGCGGCGATTCCCACCATTCCAGCGAGCAGAGAAATCAGAGCCAGGAATGGAGTCGCTGCATTTCCTGCGAAACTACCTCTCGTGATAGCCCTGTTCAGCATCCACCCTGATAGTCCGAGAACTATGACATACATTATCAAGTTCAGAATCAGCAAAGGCCCAGCTATCGCTCGACCCATTTTGGTTGACATTGCCATGTTGAAGCGAGGAAGATAGTCAACGACGAGAGTCGGATGAGGAGATCTGCCTTAGAAGATCTGGAGCGGGAACCCGAGAGACTGAGAAGAAGGGTAGACGATTCAGCTGCTGTATGTTGCTTCTGATGTTTCCAGCCGCCGTCGCTGCTTCCCTTATATACGGCTTGCACGCAGTCACTACCTTCCGGGTCGAAAGTCTAGGCTCTTTGTGTCTGACAACTTACATAATACTAACAATTAGAGAAGATGAAGCATATCCGCCTGATAACAGATCTCATTACTGACTCGGACACATGTCCATTCGCCCGTCAGAAATGGCTTCAGACTTAAGGATTTATTATGCAGTCCAATAGGCTTAGATTGACATTGACTCATGACTCATCTCCTCAAGCTGACATGGATATATATGTTCAAGTATACTTTACTTCTCTTTACTTTCATGTACATTCTCCCATATTGGAAACGCAACAATGAAACGGGTAGGAGCATATGAACCTTTTGCAAGAGAATGGCATTCTTTCAAGCGCTTGCATTGTCTATCCCATATTCCATTACGAAGGGAAGACGTGAGATCCTAACTTTGAGCATGGACGCTTGGCTGTTGATAAAATTAGGCTGAGAGGTGGGCACTCTGATTGCTATCAGTTGCTTCTAAACCTGACAAAATTTTGACCCCGTCGAGATTTTCTACGTTGAACATCCTGAGGCTTACAAGATTATGGGGGATGAAAATGGATGCAACTGGATGCAAATGGTAATGTGGTAGATCGAAGCGCATTCTTCTAAGCGAGTCGAGCCAATATGGAAAGTTCATTGGATACCAATGGATTCTTCACTGACATCTGACATTCTACATATCTATTAGAGAGGTGAATCGAACTGAAGCACAGGTGTTGCATGAAGTACATTGCATGCAGATTTAAGAAGTTCCAACCACGTGTTGACTACTCTGAGAACAGTTAGTGGGCACAGTTTCTCTGGTGATGAGATGGACCGGCTGCTGAGATGGCACAATCAGCAGATGCAGAATTCTACGTGTAAGGAACGTACGTGTCATCCGAGGCTTCGACTAAAATTTGTCTTTAAAGGGGCCGGTATATATACGTGGCATCGTGCTCAGGTTCCTTGTACGTGGCCCTGTAAACTTGACTAAGTGTTATACGTGTCAATTCACTATATAATCAACGATTGTTCTCTATGTTCAAAAGCGACCAATGCAAAGGTGTGGCCAGCAACTCTTCTCTCAGCTCTTTCGTGTGACGACGATCTTCTGCATCGTGGCGTTGTGTCAAACTAAACCCATTGTTCTGGAGAGGAACACGAAGATTCTGACAATCTGGCAGCATTCGAGATGACTGCTTTGAAGCTTCCTATTGGTGCATACTGCATGTTGGGGCTAGATCCATGTTCCCCGTTTGTTTTCATTCTTGTAAGGCTTCCAAGTGATCGTCTTGGACGAGTTAGATGAATAACGAGTCCCTCTGAGGGAAGCAGGTGGAGATGGAGACCTGGTGCACAGCATGGTACAAATGTTTCACTCACCACATCTGCACAATCGATCAATAAAGTTCAGTAATTTTTTTTATACTTGATTCTTAGATCTTAAAATCTCAAGATCTATTTATCCAAGCCCCATTTTGTTCGAAACTTGAATCCGACATCAAAAGTCAAATAGTTTCTGAAAGCTTGAACATTAAAAATAGGTAGTTGACTATCACTTTGGTCCTCATCAAAGCTCAGCATATAATTTCAAGACGAAGATCTTGAAAGATGATAGCAAGATGAATTGATGATTTTAATGTTCTGATCTTGTTATTTCACAATATATGAGAAAATTCTCATATATTGAAATAATGGGGAAGGATGTTTTATCTTAGTTCCAGATATTTTGAATAACAACGAAGAAATATGTCTCTGTATTGTTAAAATCTTAAGATCGGTTTTTATCGAAAAGTACTATGTACTTTACTTAATTTGTACACTAAATCATTTTCGAAAGCAACTAATCGACAGTTTATCGTGGTTAAGTAAGTAGAACTGTTCAAATCGTGGACATCAATAATTTCTATATGAATGCTTGGATAGAGGAAAAAATATGAGAGAATCTACAATGAACCGGCAACGAACAATAATAGGTTAATTGAAATGACAGTATTTTCATTTCAAACAAATTGAACATGAACGTTATCTTCTTTAAAAAATGAATATGCTCTAAGGGGGTAGTATGGGGGTAGTATATTGAATCCATGTTACAATTATATGCACATAAAAGATCTACCTGATTCGCATCAAAAACAAAAATGTACACATAAATCTTATATTAGTTTATTTTGATAAATTACAGATTAATTTTTATCTATTTAAAAAATAGCATCATTGGGCTATATTTTTTAACCAACTATCTCACAGAAATTTTGACTATCTTTATCATATAAAAGTAATATAAATGTACATATCTTGCTGGAAAAGTTGCTTGATTGATATGTGCATTTAACGAACAAACATCGAGCCTTGTCATGATATGAAATAATTATTTACAATATCATGAAGTCATTGAGAAAATAATTTTGGTATATTTTTATAATAATTTCATTTCATTCCTAACATTCATATAAGATATTTTATAATCAATCAGATAGTCTTCAATAGTAACACATAATATTTCTGATTAGAGGAATTAATAATTTGTAAACTTATAATACATAATTGATTTTTTCTGGAATAATTCAGGACATTGAAGTATCTTTTTAAGAAGACGTGTTTTTATTGCACACTTATTTTATTATATAATCTCATGATGAGAGAATAAAGAAAAAAAATTATAGTCCAAAACATCTGTACTGAACTTAGGGAATGTTACAGTGCTAAGCACCACCAAACAAGTGAAAATGTTAGGATTTTTATATTTAATTTGCCCTTGACATACTCTTACTAATCTTCAATTGCTAATGCAGATGCAAGTTGATTGCATTTAAAGGGCACTTTAGACCTCAAGCGTAGGTACTCAAGTTCCGGGATTTGAAAAGAGTGTGGCAAAGCCACGAAAATAAGATAACATTATACTTCATGCAAAGCAAATAACTTCTTCAGCAATTGATTTATCAAGCTCACAATCAATCATATCATATTTTCTACATCTCAAACTTTGCTGTAATTTTGAAATTTAAGATTTTATATATTCATATTCACCATGTAAGGTGCTTCATGAGAATATTACCAATTTTTTTATCACGAGGTAATTACTAGATAACATTTCATTTTAGTTGATATAGTTTTTTATTTACTTTGATTTATTTTCAATCAAATAAATTTTTTTAAAAATTTAAATATTAAATATAACATAGGTATTAATTTAATAAAATCTATTAAAATGTTTTCGGTTATTAATTTCTATATATATAAAATAATTTTAGATAGTAAATTTTTTTCGAAGAACAGAAACATTCTTCCAAATTATTCTTGAGAAATATATATTTTTTCAAAAAGGATATAGAAAACCATTGAATGATTTGTGAATAATGTAAGGTGAAAAAGATCAAAACCGATTAGGTTTCAGGAATTAACTAAAATATTTTGGATTATTGAATTGATTTGGAACAATAAGTAGTTGAATAAAAATAATTTTTTAGATACGAATTTTATTTTACACTTCATTGCAATCATAAATAAATAAATAAATAAAATAAATTTAAATGCAGCTAAATATAAATATTTTTTGGGTTTCTTATTTACTTTTGGGATTCAGCAAGAATTTAATTTGGTATATAATTGAGGATGTCTAAAATTTATAGCTAATATTTTCTTAAAATCTGAGAGGTTTCAAATTGTGATTTATAATATTCTAAATCTATGAAAACTTTCTAAGATGTATCTTTTCCACATTTGGGAGAATAATTTTATGATTTTATTCCATCCAACATAAGATCATTATCAAATTGATATATGCAATGTTATCGAAGGTGCTTGCTATGAAGACGATATTCTCTGATTACAAAATTTGTACATTGATACATTTTGCAGTACAAGTTAATCTTTGTATATGTCATTGAAATCAAGTGAAAGTCAATGAAATAATTTTCAAAAGTTCAATCAATGAGCAATGGCATGTTGATGAATATTACGTTTGATACATTCAATAAATTTTTGGAACTCTTTTACTTTGTACATATTACAAACAAATTAAAATAATGGTATATCAGCAACTCATTCATGACTTGCAAAACAGTTCTACCTCAAGTGTCAACTTCATGACATGAAGCTCAGGAATTCTGACATCTGGATAACACGTGTCATCTTCTCGTTATAAAAGTGCTCCATAGCACAAGACTGAGAATTTAGCATTCCTTCCCACGCGCAAAAGGGTGGGGGAGAGGTGTGTCAAATATTCATCATGGTAAGCATATAATACCTGGTGGAAAGATTGTTCAATCTCGTCCTATATACTTTGGTGGGCGTGAAGCTCATTGGATCTAAGCATCATACGCCTGCTTGGTTGAGGAAAAAAAAGTGAAAATCTCGAAAAGCAGTATGTCCCAGTCGCTTCTTAACACATCGGGCTTTCAGAATAATCAAGCAATTCTTCTGCTAATCTTCGCAACTTTTACGAGAACGCGAAGTAGGAAGAAGCGGGTAGCTCGAGACTGAATTGGTACAACACATCCACAAAGGTCCAAACTGGCAGAAAGCAGTCACGACGAATTCGAAGGATATCTGTCTGGCGCACGGATTCGGTAAAAAGCTAAGAATTGACGGAACATGTGGACTGTGCATAGGATTCCGAATCGCAGTCAAAGCAGACCAGAGCAGAGGAGGCCAGATCCAACAAGACGGTGCCTCCTCCAGATGCGGCCTCCCCCAATCTCCCACATTCGGATTCGTGGACAGACGGAGCGCCGAGCCGAATAGATCCCGCAGTCTTGACAGTTCATGCGGAGCCCGTTAATGGTGACACGTATGACTGACTGCAGTCTGGCACCGACACGTGGGATCCCGGTGTGACCCCTTCGAGCGTCGGCGATTCGCTAATCCGACTGGTGACTGCCTTTTGCGGTTAATTTTAGCGTGATTATGAGCTAATGGTGCAATGTCAACGTGTCAATCGGAGTCGAGCCATGCGATTGGTGTGAACGTCTTTCTCCACGCCGACTCACGCCACGCCACGTCAGGCTCCCCTCGACGTAACTTCTGTAATTCGAGATTAGCGATCTTAATTAGCGTAATGCTCATGTGGTCCGACGTCCTGATGGCGGCCGACCACGTAGGATTATCTCCCTCGCGACAGCTTGATTAAGAGTTGACCGAGCGAGATTAGCAACTCCATTAGCAGTTCCCTCGCATGCGGGTCTCATCTCAGCAGGCTCAGCTACCGAAGATGCAGACGTGCATGTGATGAACGAGATCAGAGTGTATAATTAGTCTTCCAGAATCACGAGGCAGTAACCAACAGCAGACGAACATCCAGCCTGCCCGACGAGTCTAGGTCTCAGCTGCGAGAAGCATTTGACAGCTACGAGAATTTGTGTCCAAGCTGCGAGTTGAGAGATCAAGTGATCTGAGAACTTTGCTGCTGCCGAGATGGCGATGGGAAAGATGGCCCGGGGAATCATTGCACCCTTGGTGATATTAAATTTGGCCATGTTTGCAGTGGCTTTGGGGTTGTCTGGATGGATGATGAACAGATTTATCGAGCGAGGTGGGTACGGGGGAAACCAGGCCACTCCGTTCCTTGCAATTTTCTCTCTGATAGCTGGAATGGTCGGGATCGCATCGGCCATCACCGGGCTCCACCATGTGAGAGAAGGATCGTCGAGCAGCGCTGCAGCCGCCCAAGCGACTTCCTGGATCACGTGGTTGCTGTTGATCCTCGCCTTCTGCTTGGCATGGAAGGAGATTCACATCGGAGGCAGGAGCGTGAGGCACCGAGTGTTGGAGGCTTTCATCATCATGCTCACAGCTACTAAGCTCGCAGAGACTCTGGCTTACTACTTTGGGGACAAGTCTCGATCCAGGCACGACGCTGCCCATGGCACACCAACCACGTACGACTCGACCGTCTGAGCGCCTCGAGAAGCCGATGGATGTCGCATTTCGTACCCGATGGGGTAATATACTCCGCTGCAGCTCGCCTCCGAGAAAGGTGTAGCTGAATGTGTGATCTTTTGATGGATTTGAGGGGTTCGATCCCTTTCATTTGTACCAGTACTATGAGGTCAACTTTTCTGTACATGTAAATGATGTGTAGCCGATATGATATGTATCTATTCGTTTCGAGCACAGCTCGCAGTTTGAATAAATTTGTTCTGTGAAGTAAACTTCCATCCTTTATTTGTGCATTTGAAACTGCACGAAGTCAGTGAATGTTCAATTTCCTACTACACTCAGTGTGATGGATGTGGAAAGTAGTCAGTTTTCTTGCTGTAACTGTAGTGGAGGAAAAAGTTGACATACTCTCGTCAGAGGAAAAAGTCGAAGTAAGTTTCAGTTGGCAAGACATGTTTATGATAAACACGGTATGTTCAAACTTTATTCGTTAGCGGAATAGATCTGCAGAAAGTATAGAAGTTACGGTTCCGATTCCGAGCGTATTCCATGCTGACTGAAAATGTTAATATACTCCTGTGAATAGACTGAAAGTAGATATGACATTTCTTTTCTGAGCTTAGAAACTAGAATCTGTACACTTTAGAGTGTATCCTTGCATCATCTATCTTACAGTCTTATACTAGTAGTTTCGAAAATTATCTACACTTTCACAAGTAGGTTAAATTATAATAAACTATTAAAGTAATGCTCAAACTTAATTGTGTTATAATATTAATAATTTGAAGTGAAAACTCTCGATATACACACGGCGTAAAATTTCCAAACAGATTAAATTATAAAATATATTTTCCAAGAAAAGGGAAAAATAGTTCACCAGAAAAGTGCCAATCTTTATTTCTGAACGATAAAATCATCAATACACAATTCTAATTATCCACTGAAATTTCGTCTAAATAGAATAAGTCCGATTATATAACTAAAATTGTAGAGAAAACTAAATATCGATTATTTCAATGTTTGGAAAAAAGTCAATACTGCGTGTATGTAATATATAGCAATACGTATCCAGATAAAATATTTCTTTTTCTTTATGTGACCGATAGCTGAAGTCAACTCCATGCTTACTAAACTCTTCTGTACAAGTATGCAAAACTTAACTTAATAGCAACGTTAATGATTGAGCAGATTGTGGACAGAAATGATCAACTGATAGATGTAAAATTTGGAAGAAAAGAATATTACATACACTAAAAAGTTTTCTAAAACTTTAATGCCAAAATATTTTGGTTATGAAACCTAGTTTCTCTTCAGTACAAGAATTGAAGACAGCTGATCTCTTTCGGCTGAGGTTTTGAGGAGTAATACAGTTCACGTCTCGTGGATTTTTGGAAGTTGAAGTTTAATATCCTCATCATTGTGATGAGGAAAGTGGAATTCATTTCTTCTCACCGACTAGCGCTCTGTGCTTTGATTATCCTCACGGTTAATAATCATGGACGGCATGTTCATGGACTCTTCTAAATTCTATTTAGATATCGATTGCTTTAGGTGTCCAGTGAACATAATATGAGGGCGGAACCTAAATTAGCCACAACGAAAAAATAACCCTGACTGACGTTCTTGTGAAATATATTCAATTTCTTATAGTTTCAAGACTGTCACACCGGTTTCTCAATGCAAATGACACTTTTCAGAAATGTTGGGTGCCACAACTAACGAAAAGGTGGCAAAAATAGCAAATGTCACTTTTAAGGAGGTCTGTATCAGTCCCCTAATATCAGGACAACATCGTGGTCATTTGGCATACGTCATCTCCTTAACCTGGACGAAACTTTCAAGATATATAAAAAGATATATATATATATATATATGTATGATACGCTCATCAATTTTATCAAATCTTCACCGTCTCCTTCATCAACAATGATCTCAGCTCATCATGTCTTTTCCAATTGTAAGCGTAGAGTGACAGTAATCTCCTTCTTGACAGAGCAGAGATTTATGGAGACGGACAACAGAACGTGAAGGAATCGGGGATTATGGTGTACGCTTAGCCCAGTAGTAATTTGTGTGTTTGACCTATTGTTGGAAGCAAAAAAAAGTTCGTATTCCGACAAGAAAAAATTATGATAATTTTATGCAAAGTAACTCCAAACTACCATGAACTAGCATCGTAATTAATTTTATGTAAAACGGCGTGTTTTCTTCGCTTAGAGACCTGGAAGACCTAGTTGTGATTATGTGGGAAGAGGAAAAGATGCATGCACATGAGTTTCGATAAATGCGACCCGTCCAGCGGTATGGTTTCCGGCCTCGTACGTTACCTGTCTTACTCATAGAGCCGAGTTCTATATAGTTGCTCGAGTCTAAAGTCGGAAACCCCTGAAATGTCATGATCTGCAAGGGACGTAAATATTTTCCAAGGATCGCCAAAAGGATATTTCTTATGACGAAAGAAAAGTTTGAAAGAAAAGATTAACAGATATTGTCACAATTCTTTCATGTGATGATACTCAAATCTAATAAAATGGGACTGGTACTTGGGATGAAAAGTTCGTATACATGGGTAGCGCTTGTTTGGATGCACACTCACAACTTGCGATTACTATCGTAGTCTGATAACAATACGATGAACAGAAAGATTCTTTTGCGTTTTACGAATATCAGTACTCAAAATGCAATTTAGTACTCAGGGCTAGAAAAGCATTGATCATGGTATACATATTTAACTTTATGAGTTCAAAATATAAATATTTGTTTCGTATATAGTTTTGTACCAAAATAATTGTATTCATTTATAATAATTACACTGTAACAAACGAATTTAAGAATATGAGTTGGCCATTAGCTTTACAGAACATCATGAGCTACGTCTCACTGCTTCATTTATATTCACAACTATTGAGATAAAAAATGCTCTTGATCTCATCTTTAAGATGGATTTATAGTTTTTGAAATGAATGGAAAATAACTTCAGGACGTGTGTGTATATATATATATATATTTCTAGATTAGTAAAAAGGATGCAGAGCATTATCCATATACACATATTGTTATCTTAACTGGTAAAAGAACAATCAGTTTCTTTATAAGGTTCAAGCTAGCTATAATAATGATAATTGCCAACAATGCAACGATTGAAAACACCAAGTGTAATGTTTGGAGCACTTGTAACTGCCAAGCAAGTGTATGTGAGTAGAAAAATTGTTCTTAACAATTTCTACTTATGATATCAGCGTAAATATCAGGAGTTCTTGTTCAAATTGGAAGTGGACTACATCGAACATCATCTCATCCCTTTACATAAATTCTACGTGGTGGAAGACGTAGCAATTACGTGAGTAATAAGATTTGGTGGATAAATTGTTACTTTTATTGAACTACGCAACTTTTTGTAATATAACATGTTGTTAGGACCGTAAGAATGTTTCAATGTTACCTCAAGCCACGTGATTGGTGTTGTAGAACATTGTGAATCTTGTACCCCCTCATTTCAAAACCATGTCTGCAATCTTTCTCATTTAGATCCTTATGTTCCACTTCATTTAATCTTTAACGCATGAGGTTCTGAAAGCCATTAATTCCTCCTTATAGAGGGACCTATAAAGCAATTTCAACGAGAAGAAGGGGCTTTTAAATTAACGTTATCACTTGCGTGTATCCTAGTCGTCAGTTGAATTATTGCATGCAGCTCGTTATGAAATTTTTTGTCTAGCACTTTTGAAATAGCAGATTTTTCTACGTGATTTATATTCCTTTAGCTCCAAAGGTCGGAATGTTCAACAAATTAATCTCAATAATCAAGAACATGATAGGAAAGTTCTTGAGCTATAACCCACTGCTAATGAAGAAGATGTAGTAGCCGTCATTTCTTCGGTCAGCTTGCTACGCGGTCCAGAGCTGTTCTATTACACTTACATTGACACTAACAAACTTTATTAAATATCACACAAAATCCTATCTTAATCGTTTTTTTTGCTTTCGTGCTGTAAGTAAACAAAGTATCATTCAAGGAAAATTTTGCACTCGATTAAATGAAGGTGCATATAAAGAGGCGGGGGATATTTATACTCCCTCCAAGGGAAGTAGAACGTCCATTTGTCCCTAATACGAGCAGGAGATGGGGGTGTCCTCTCCACCTAAATAGGTAAAATGGGCGGGGATGAATTTTTTCTCACTTCCTATGTACGTGACATAAATTCACCTTGTTAACAATCCCCCATGATGTGGCAGGTTGAGTGATAGCTCACTCCTATTGATGTAAATTTTATCTGATTTTATCGGAAATTCTGACAGGATCTTCTTCACAGAAATGTGAAGAAAAGAATGGGTATTATATGAGCTTACTAATATGTTCAATCAAGTCGAGATCTAAAATTTCCTTGAGGATTAGTTATTTTTGGCATTCCTATCCGGCTGTCACATGTACTCCCTTTAGAAGAGTAGTAGCACTCGAAGACAAAAAGAAGACATCGACCACTTGTCCATCTCCTGCACAAATGAACGGCGGGTGGATGAATCCCTCCCTCCCTATCTACGTCACACAAGTTTCGTTCACTCCTATAGCACATGCAACTATAGATTACGCGATATGGATTTCGAGATGCTATTCACTTACTTTCCAAATCGATTCCAAGTTTTTTGCTTCTTCGCTGCGTTGATTACTAATGGAGACACAAGCAGACCGTAATTCTCAACATGAGCGAGCAACCGGTTTGAGATTGGCATGTCGTGCTTTCTGTGTTTACGGATATTTTTACGTAGATTACAATCGATAGTCATTATGAAATATTTTGTGTGATTTATGTTCGAAAATTTTATGAGATAAAACAAGCCATATGCACTTGCAAGCTTTTCTATACATTATAAATTTAAAAGTCTGCTACTTTCTTATTGTTTCACAATCATTTATTTTGATTTATGGGTTTAAGTCTAAATTTGTACTATATAAACCAAGACAATATCGCAAATCTGTTTTCAATACACATATACAAAGCTCTTAACAGCTTTCTAGTTCTGCTAAGCACTCAGACAATGTAGTTTGATTGTATAAACATTATAGAACCTGAATTGTCTTTCTATTGAAAGTGACTAATAATCAGTGTAAAAATGCAAGATAGGTTATCGGATGGATAAAAATTGAAGTTTATAATATAGTCAACAGATATAAGGTGATGTAATTGTACTTCAAAGTCATGCCAAAGATTTCATGCATAAACTTTAATTTTCAGAATTGAACATTGCTTCTTATTTTCCCAGAGTAAATATGTCAATCACATTCACTATATCAATATTAGGTTTTTGATAAATTTTTTTTAACGTACGTATTTCAACTTTTCTATCCAATTGAATTTACTAAGAAATTATACACTTCTATGTATTAATGATGATTCAACAAGCTTAAAAGAATATTTTTTTTTGATCTTGTGAAATTCGTGCAAACTTAAAAAATATGTTTGCACCAATATCTCAGATCAAATTTTTTTGTAAAGTTTGAGCTAAATTTATGATATGAAAGATATTTAAATTCCACTTCTATTTTATTTATTGATTTTATTGGTTAAAACATTCAATATGAATTTCCAACAAAGAAATCAGTCATTCAAGCTTGCTATAAGTTACTAAATTTCATTACTGGATGATATACAATTACTAGATTTCAAATTCACAAACTAATTAGATGATTGTCGTTAGATTCCTGCATAAAGTAATATTTTTGAGTAACACATGGTTGCAAGTGAAAAGCAGCTGATCACCATTGCAATCTGTGGCCACCAAGCGTATAACTTTTAATTTCCGGGATTTTGCGATACCTTACATGTCAAAGTTTCGGAGATCCTAAATAAATACATAAATAAATAAAAAAATGGAAGATTTTGAGTTTATTTATGAATAACTGGGGACTTCTTGAAACAAAACGATTTCTGCTCCAAATCGAACCATGGACGCCATTTGTTCCAGGCACTTGTTTCATGTCTGAAACGTGGGCAGGTCCAGTTTACCGCCCATGTTACTCGTTGCTTGGGATGCAGACAGGTCGACGTGCGGATGCCATGCGAGACTGCAGTGAGTGATCTGATTCCGTGGTTTCAGAGCAGAGAAACTTACTGTGAAGCAGCAGTCTTCCCTTCTTCGGAACAAACACTGGAGAGGCGGTTGGCTGGCTGTACCAAACAGAGCTCCACGGCATCCTCCCGCTTTGTTACCGTCTTCATTCTCTAGCCTTGAATCGAAGTTTCTCAGCTTGTTCCGGCCATCACACGTCGCAATTTCGATAAATACCGATCCGAAATCGCTGCTCATACTCAAACTTCATCCACATGCACTCCCATCCTCTACTTCTCCCTCCCAGTTGAAGGCTTCAGCCGAGTTGAAGTCTAGAGTCTGTGGCAGAGATCAGATATCAAGAACATATTTGCTCTATTGGCTGATAAGCTTTTTTTGCTTGACATTCTTCTATGAGTTATTCAAGACCGAGGAATAGAGCACATGGATGGAAGACCCTATTCAGTATTACGTCGATTGAAACAAACGGGTAAGAATGTGGCCTACTGGAGAAAATCATCATCAATACCACAAAGTCCTCCAATGGATCGAACTTCGGTAGCTACTAGGGAGGGTAGTTGTATCCTCCGTACCACTCAGCGTAGCCCTACCCGAGCTCTCTCTCAGCTCACCCGATCCGGAGGTTGTTCAACTTGCGTGCTCTTCGAGTGATTATGATTTTACTGTCCAACACCCAGCTTCGAATATTGTTAAGACGTGAGTGATATATGTACGATCCATTCTCTAAGACGTGCTCAGCGTCTTGTGACCTATTGATTGGTATTTGTCGCTTGATTTGCTTAAGATAGACTGCATTTAGAATATCTGCGTCCATTACTAGTCTATTGCAGTCGGTACGATTCGAGTGATACACTCGATAGCGAATGAGCACACGAGTCGACATTAAGACTGAAGACTAAAGATATCATTCAACAACCTTCACGTATAAAAGAGAATAATATTAAAAAACATGGAGGGGGTTAGTTTACAACGGTTTCCGGATTGGAGTTCTCAGTCGCTTAGAACATGATCCAGATCACGATCATAAGCAGATTGCTATTACAATGTTCTGAAGCGTGTTTTGGGACTAGAACACCAAATGCTGACTGATCGATTCTATTATTTTGTTGACAGTTAAAGGTCAGATTTATGAGTGGACAGACAGCGGAAAATCAGCCATTTGTAAAATATACTATAAAGATACATCTTCAAATCTCGAGAAATCTGGATGAGGAATGTTCGGTGTGGTTGCATGATCCGACATCAAAATTCCTTCACTTAACAAAACGGGGTTCTCAAGTGGTGCGCCAGCCATGCATTCTCAGGTGTTAGGCACATACGGTTCATGCACATAATAATCAGTATAAGCACGGTATACATCCACATCATACAGATACACAATGATCGTTTCTCAGGTACTGAACTACTTCAGTGGTTACTGATGTTCACAATATACCTGAGAAAATCAGTTGTCATTGACCACAATGATATATTTTCTTTTTTTGAAAGATAATAATTGATTTCTCGACACGAACCATCGTCAAATGGACAAAGTTACGATATTTCGTAATACGGGAAATGTTTTTTTACGGTGAAAAAAATTTCCCACGTAAGCATGCCAAGATAACAACAACGAAAGATGTGCACACTTGAACTGTTTCTTGCTATGAACTTGAATTGAACAATTCTTGAGATAGCTACTGTATACGAAATCTTCGTCCTTCTATATTTATCCACATACGTTCTCAACACCCGGCGTCACACATATGTCTTTCTCTCTCTTCATCACTGGTTGTATTCTTTGACAAATTCTTTTTCCCGCTGCGAGGCCAAAGTATACTGACTGTATTGAAGTCTTAGACCAGCCGACTCAATGATAACATGGACAGCGGAGAAGATCCAAAGCAATATAAGAAACCATACATAGTAGAGCATGGAATGAGCAAAGAGTTACAATCCAAAATACTTGCAGACGTGCTAGTTGACAATGGGGAGGATATATCTACAAAGTGGACTCGAATATGTCTTCAGAAACGTTTGCAACTCTCACTAAACGGCGGATGCTGCAACGGGGGCATCAGACATGTGGGTGACACCCGTGGTGGTGACAGGAATTTCTGGCTTGGAGCCAGTCGTCGAGGTCATGGTAGTCGTGCCCTTATCCACCAAGTAAAGAGCTACGGTATAAAGGAACTTGGTGATGGTGAGGATGATCACAAAGGCCTCGAGGACTTTGTGCCTCGTCCCCCTTCCTCCAACACGGATCTCCTTCCACGCCAAACAAAACGCCAACACCAGCAAAAACCACGAAATCCACGACGTGGCCTGAGCTGCTGCTCCCGTATCGGGCTTCCATAGCCTAATGTGATGCAACCCGGCCATAATCGAAGCAAGCGAAGTCATCCCGGCTATCAGAGAAAAAATCGACAACCATGGTGTGACGCGGTTTCCACCAAAGCTTCCGCGACTTATATCTCTGTCCAGCATCCAACCCGCCAAGCCCAGAACGATGATGGACAGCAGTAGGTTCAGAAACAGAAGAGGCGATGCCAGAATTCTTCCCAGCCTGCCTCCTCCTCCTCCAGTAGTACGTGCAGCGAACGCCCGACCCATGGTGGCTGTAACTCCGCCTTCTGTGGACCCGGCTGAATTCTTGAGCAGATTTCAGATCTGTCGTCAATGTGGAGGGTGAAATTCCAATGCCCGTTTCTGTGACAGGATTGCAGAGCGTACTACTTCTCGAGCTCGCATTTAATCTGAGCTCGCATTGAGGTTGCATGGTGCCTTATAGATACCCAATAGCAGCTGAACTTTGGCGATTCTCCCTCACCCCGTAGAATAGAATTCCGACCGCCCCGTAGAATAGAATTCTCGCCGTAGTTGTCCCGATCGGCGTGGACCGGCCCGCCACCGCGAACCGAGTAGCTCCTGCCAGCTGCTGCACATGTGTAAGCCGGGCGAACGATCGACGGAACGCACCTAACGGACGGTTCGTGACGAACCGCTAGCCCTCTTCCTCACAGTACGTCACGACGCACGGATGGAATTATCAGAAACGCTGACGGATGTGACACGTCGCCTCCCGATTCCCGGGCTCCGCTGCTAATCCGAGTCCTGCGAGGGGTGCAATCCGGTTCCGCCACGTGTTCGTGGAATCGAGCATCGGCGAATCTTGGTATCCAGCCTCTGCAATATTCGCCGTGGTTGGAGGGTTAGGGGCCGCTGTATTCGCTGCAGTGGTTCTCTTTGTTATCTCTCGCCAGTTCGATTAGAATGAGATAATAATGAGTAATAAGAAATATTATATTCGATTATAAACAAGAATTATTGTCTCGAGTCTCTCCGTTTCCTGCCTAGCTCTTGAAAATTGTGCTCTTAGAGCTCCGAGTCCATGCAACCTCGTCATCGAAACTCACTGATTTATAGAATCGGTTTGTTTGCATGTCTGTGTCTGTGGCGGAGTCCGAAGCCATGCTCACTGGATGCCGATTGGGAATGCGAACTCTGCCGGGCGGATTCGCTTTGTTGCCATAGTTTGGCGAGATGTCAAAGCATGCAAATAATGTAGAGAAATTGAAATGGGCGGCGTACGTAACAATTACTACGTCTACGTAGTCGAATCCATCGACTTCAGGCATACTAATGTTTTTGATCTCTGTGGTGGGACTATATTCCTGCAAGGATATTTATGAAGATGTAATTTTCGACCTGTTCTCTACACTTAAAGACCCGATTCGGAGATCCATCGAGAAAGATGCTTTGACCAGTCGTCTTAAGCGTGCGTATATATACACACGCGTATACACACCCCATCTATATATAGTAATGGGTCAATCGTACGCGAGTTTTGGGGAAGAATCGGTGAAGTCTAAAGAAATTAAATTACTGGAATTAGAAGGAGCAAGTAGGAAACTGCATGGACGTGTTATCGTATCCGAGAACAAAGATAGATCGACCGTCAAATAAGCAACTGACAGCTTAGTGCAAAACCACCATAAATGCATACCCACCAGGAAGAGAAAAAGGATTTACGTTATCGTAAGTTTACTGACATGTAATGGGAAACGAAACCATACTTGCACTTAGGGGAGAGAGAGAGAAAGATTTGCCGGCACAGAAGAGCACGGAACGGAACATACACTCTGCCGGACAGAAGCCCTTGCTTCGTTTCTTTGTTACGTATGCCTGTAGCAAATTACATTTTATCGACTTTGGAATTCATCCGATTTGATTGCACATCTGCCTTCATATCTCCTTCTTTTGGGTTTCGACGATAGGACTCTACTACACCTCCGACTACATTTGCGGGTCATCTTGGCCGGCGGACATTTCGTGCTCTTCTGTGCCGGGAAATCTTTCTCTCTCTCCCATTCAGTGCATGTCAATAAACTGACGACTACGTAAATCCGTGCCCTTGACAATCGTTTCTCTCTTCCTGCTGGGTATGCACTAATGGTGGTTATGCACTAAGCTGTCAGATGCTTAAAGAGTCTTGTCCTTGCGCTAAAGTCCAAAACTTCCAGCTGCGCTTCGAAGCGATCTGACGAGGACACATGAGTACGTACATGGACAGAATCACTGCATTAGGTGCTTGAGTTCATCCCTGTCTATATGCGTTATGGTGGTCATAACCGGCGAAGTCCTTTCCTATTGCTATGATCTCATCATAAGTAGAGGGCATACCAGGAAGGTCTTGCCGGTAGCTAGTAGTCTCTAAGAATCAATACGTAATGAAGCTCTGAAAATCAATACTGTGTAGGAGTGCCGGTGGATTTAAAAATCGTCGAGAATGAGGTAAGCTAGAGGGAATAGAAGCTTTCGCTCAATAGTTTTCGCGTTACCTTGAATGCGTGGTCAAGTCACTGTTCTATATAAAGAGCGAACAGTTACACTCAACTAGATATCAGAACAGAGCGAAATATACTGTTACCTGAAAGTTGAAGATGGATTTCGACACCTGTTGGTAGATAAGCTACCTCGGACTTTCACCCAGATTCCCTTTTGCCAGATATGGGTGATGTAGTGGAGTTTCAGGTTTCGACAGCTTGATTCGAGTTCAGTTTGTATATCTGAACACATTCTATCCTAGCATGCCATTTATCTTGCACATTCTCTTCATCCGATTCAGGATAGCAAAGATGGCAGATGCTATCAAGGCAAGTCTTTGATATATATATCTGAGTCATACAACCGTTCCTGAGCCCAGAGTGTGTAAATTGCGCAGACAAGCACGCGTACATTGAAATTGATTCCTCTAAAGTGTACTATACGGCCTCGCACACTCATATCTCACTGAATGTACACGAACACTGAAGGGTAAACGATGGCTTCAGGACGAACTGAAAGAGGAAACGAATGCAATAAATTTATATACCGTTCATTATCATCATCTGGCTTTAGTTTCGATCGAGGAGTCGTTAACGATGGAATAAGATACAACTTGTTATAGCATTACATCTAGCAATTGTGATCCAACGTACAAATGTGGTTGGCAGCATCAGTGTGCAGCTAACAGTTTCACCCGATGGAATTATATCACTGCAACAAATAAATCCACAAACCCCTGTGCTCACAATGAGAACAGAGCAGAAAAGCAAGATTGATTCTTGTCACAGCTGTTCTTACTTGTTTGATCAAGAATCACAATGTCTCCGATGCTAAATTCTGACCACTTTTATTCGGGATTGTGCTCGAGTAATCCTCAATTGGAAGTCAGACTGAAAGCTTTGCAAGCTGTAAATGGGCTCGAAGAGAAGATGGATATTCAACCAGAGGTGCACCAATCGGACACATACTTCAAGGAAAACCCAATTATGAAAATCGTAGAACCGTTGAGCTTGCTTTATGAATGAAGACCACTTAGTAATCATGGCATATCCAACAGAAGGTTACGAGGAGGTACAATTTTCACAGGAGAAGCTGAATCATTATTTCACACGTTCTTCGGATTCGTCATCCGTCCTTCTCATCTCTCGAGGAATCTGAAAATACATGGTCCTCTATGAAGATCTAAGACTTGCTAATGTACAATACGTATCTGGATGAAGAATATGCTCTAATGTAAAGCACTTCCAATCTACAAATCTTAACGAGACATCGATCCACGACAGTATTGATTGACTCGCGGTGCGTACGAGCAGTCCCTGAGAATGTACAAAATGAGCAGGATCATGTATTTACAAAAGCTCATCGGAGCTTCATCCTCGTCATCACATTCTGTCGCGATAACCAGGCTGCTGCCACTCCCACAGATGCTTGAGGACATGGTGAGAATTGCATCGGTGATCACTCTCATGTGTCGATGCAAAAGTGTGACTTATATATTCCATAGGAGATAGATGTACAGAAAAACATGGGAGTACAGTTTTGCAGGTATCCGATCACATAAAATCACCAGCTTCATGCCTTCGTTTTTTGAGGCAAGCGTGACCAAAGCAACAAGTTAGAAGTAATCCCAGTCCTGCAAGCGATGCAACGATGGGAACTACGATAGTGTTGCTATCATATGGCGAGGGTGATGGTAGTGGTCCAGGGCTGGAAAAGTTTGTACAGGGGCCTGATCCTCCTGGCCCTGAAGATCCTGGGGTGGGTGGGAAAGGAGAATTTGATGAACTCGACGATGGGCTTCCAGGAGGAGGAAGAATCACAGATGATGGACCAGGAGAGGCTACTGGAGTAGAATTTGAAGGGGGTCTCGAATCTGGGGAACCACCTGGGCTAGAAGATGATGGAGGAGAGCCTGATGGTGAGGATGAAGGTGAGTTTGGACCCGGAGGAAGCTCAGGAGTGGAAGCTGATGGGCTTGGAGAAGAAGCTGGAGAAAATGGAGATGGTGGAGTTCTCGAAATATGAGCAGGACCGGATGCTGGCGTGGAGGAGGAGACATGGGGCTTGGACCTGGAGGTGTTGGAGATGGAGCAACTGGACTTGGGGGAGAAAGAGGTGACGGACTTGGAGGATTTTCAAAAGGGGGAGAAGGAGAAGTACAAATTTAATTTGGCACAATCCAGTACAGAGACCCTAAATTGTGACTTGAACACTCTTCCGGAAAAGAGAGCACGAGACCCTTGAAGAGTGTTCAAGGGTCTCTCTTTCGGTTGAAGTTCAAGGGTCCAAAGAGTTCTGTCCTGGTTTTTCTGCGTTTCGAGTATTAAGTGAAAGCGTTGTAGCTCGGGAAGAAAGAGAGGTGCTTGGTCTATGTCTTGTGGTGGAGGCGCACTCTATTTGCTTCGCTGGGACGTGTTAATGGTTCCATTCGTCCACTCAGAATTCCTGTACCGAGGGTACGGGAGTCGTGCTGCCTTCGATTTGTCCTGTACCTTACGGAACCAAGTAAAAGCAGACCTTCCTTGCCTTCACGCCACGAATCCAGTGACATTCAGGCTCAAACGAGGCCACGGTGGAACTCCAGATGATACATGTGCTTTCTTCCGTAATTTGGCACAATTTAGAGTCTTGGTTTCACTATCGTCGGTAGCGTATTGCAGCTTGATATCCATCGACTGAAGCTCATTAACTATGAACCCCTTCGCTGTTTGTCTGTCTGAGTCTGTGTCTCACATCTCGAAGCCAAGACTTGAACCCAGTAAGAAGGCCAGTTCCCACAAATCCATTACACCGTTCCAAGACTCCTGTGAACCCCAGAAAATGTGACATCTGCGCTTGCTCTCCCCATCGCCTATTCCATACAAACTTCATGATACAAATGCTTGAGTTTCGAGACTTGACATGGAACAGCTTCGAGGGTGCTTCCGTCCCCTCTTGTAGTGTTCATTCCTCGACATTCGCTGCACCTCGAGTAGCTTCTTTCCTCCTCAAGCGGAAGTCAGGTATCGGGCTGCAGATGTAGCCTTATCAGCGTAAGGTCGTGCATAAGCCATACTTGAACCAGTAGCACGCGGCATGATTCATGTCTATGAGGGGATCCTCGGTCCAAGGAGCACAAGAGGCGAATCGGAAGTTAAAGTTAGACGACAGAATTGCACAGTAAAAAATCCGACGAATCAGACTATGTGAACTCATTAACTCATGAAGGTATACATAGACACTACAGTGAAATACATTGCATAAGATACACGTAACCTTATATTAAAGTTGGCGAAAAAGCAACAAATTGCCTGTCAAAGCCAATCCAACTTGTAGTGTAGCTCATTCGATATTTGTACGTTGACTCGAATTCAAGCTTTTCCAAGCACAATGTGTCACCAACATGGTTTTATTCCACGTTTCAAGTACAGTATGAGTATGGATGAGTATGGAGACGAATCTCCGGGCCATGTAGCCGGGATCGTCTATTTACCCGAACAGAGATTCTGTTTGAAGATCTATATGAGGCTGTTGACTGTGGTGCCATCACAGTGACGTAACAGAACGCTGATGGATTTTCTGTTTTGGTTGCATCTGATCTCAAAGCTAGCGAGGTCGTATAAAATGAGGAGGAGACTGAAGCTTTGAGGGTAGTTCCAGAGCTTCAAGCGTGGTACTCCTCGTCTCGTCTGAAACTTAGAGTGTCTGATTCAGAAAGAGTTTCAACCTTTGAAAAACTAAATTTCAGAACTCTAGCTAGATCAGTACTTCTAAGTCGTCGGGCTTGGTAGGATGGTTTCATCATCATGGATCGTAAGCCTTTTGGCGATATCTCTTGTTAGAGTAGTACTTCTCCTGGATGTGGTGCCGGTGGAAGGACAAGATACCAGCTTCGTCTTCGATTCTTTTGATTGCTTGAAAGACAATCATTTACAATGTACAGGAGACTCGAGTAGCACTGCAGACGGACAGCTAAATCTGACGGATGCTTCGAGGGGGAGTACTGGCCGTGTCTTGTACCTTCCAGGGATCCGACTGCTGGATCCTGAAACCTCACAAGTCTCGTTCTTCAGCACGAATTTCACTTTCAGCATGGTTGGAGATTACCCCAGGCCTGGAGAAGGGCTTGCTTTTATAATGATGTCGAATCCAATTTTCGAGGGATCCGGAGGAGGATTTTTAGGAGTTTATGGACCGGACGGCCACGCAGGAACTCAGACACTTGCTGTAGAATTCGACACTTTGAAAAATGTGAGGAGTGGGCATTTTAGATTTAACGATATCAATGGCAATCACGTGGGGGTGGATCTGGAGTCCATCAATTCCATAGTTCAAGTAGACGCTGGATCGTTTGGGATTGTTCTGTCACGAGAAGCTACGCTCACTGCGTGGGTAGACTACTTCGCACCGACTGGAAAGCTTTCAGGTAGACTTCAGGTCCGGATCAGTCGAACTTCCTCTCGACCGAGAACCCCGCTTCTCAGCTACGAGATAGATCTGTCGAAAATCTTCACCGAGTATATGTATCTGGGATTCTCCGCCTCCACAGGTGACGATGATTGCTTTTCGTACCATAATATTCGGAATTGGGGGTTTCAATCATGGGGCCTTCCAGCTCTCCCGTCACCACCACCTGACATCATCTTACCACCTCCTCCACCACCGTCCTCGCCTCATCCTCCAATCTCTCCCCCTTCCAACATTCCTCCAAGTTCTCCCCCATCTGAAAATCCTCCAAGTCCGTCACCTCTTTCTCCCCCAAGTCCAGTTGCTCCATCTCCAACACCTCCAGCTCCAAGCCCCTTGTCTCCTCCTCCATCGACATCTCCATCGCCTCCCACGTCCCCGACTCCTCCTCTATCACCACCAGCTCCCATTGCCCCGTCTCCTTCGTCAGGTTCACCAAATGCAACAGCCCCATCTCCATCGGCGGCAGTACCACCACCAGCAGTACATAGCCCAGTTCCCTCCCCGCCGAATGCGAACTCACCAGGACCATCAGGACCTGCGATTTCTCCTCCCAATGCAAACTCCTCAGCTCCATCACCATCTCACTCGAATGCTTCAGCACCTGGAACAGCACCCAGTCCGAGTTCTCATTCACCACCAGGTTCTTCTCCAGTTAAGCCCCCTGCTTCAGGCCCATCAGGACCTCCTAATTCTTCTCAGTCCCCATCGCCTTCTCCTTCTTCTTCACCATCTGGACCAGCGTCTGGTCCATCTCAGTCTCCATCGCCTTCTTCCCCAGCTCCTGGTCCTTCTTCCTCAACTCCACCATCTCCATTAGCTCCATCGTCTCGTCCAACTTCGGGTCCTTCTAAGTCTCCATCGCCTTCTTCAACCACGCCAGCTCCTGGTCCTTCTTCCTCAACTCCACCATCTCCACTATCTCCATCTTCTAATCCCACTCCAGGTCCTTCTCAGTCTCCATCGCCTTCTTCAACCACGCCAGCTCCTGGTCCTTCTTCCTCAACTCCCCCATCTCCATTATCTCCATCTTCTAATCCCACTCCAGGTCCTTCTAAGTCTCCATCGCCTTCTTCAACCACGCCAGCTCCTGGTCCTTCTTCCTCAACTCCCCCATCTCCATTATCTCCATCTTCTAATCCCAGTCCAGGTCCTTCTCAGTCTCCATCGCCTTCTTCAACCACGCCAGTTCCTGGTCCTTCTTCCTCAACTCCACCATCTCCATTATCTCCGTCTTCTAATCCCACTCCAGGTCCTTCTCAGTCTCCATCGCCTTCTTCAACCACGCCAGCTCCTGGTCCTTCTTCCTCAACTCCACCATCTCCATTATCTCCGTCTTCTAATCCCAGTCCAGGTCCTTCTCAGTCTCCATCGCCTTCTTCAACCACGCCAGCTCCTGGTCCTTCTTCCTCAACTCCACCATCTCCATTATCTCCGTCTTCTAATCCCAGTCCAGGTCCTTCTCAGTCTCCATCGCCTTCTTCAACCACGCCAGCTCCTGGTCCTTCTTCCTCAACTCCACCATCTCCATTATCTCCGTCTTCTAATCCCACTCCAGGTCCTTCTCAGTCTCCATCGCCTTCTTCAACCACGCCAGCTCCTGGTCCTTCTTCCTCAACTCCACCATCTCCATTATCTCCGTCTTCTAATCCCACTCCAGGTCCTTCTCAGTCTCCATCGCCTTCTTCAACCACTCCAGCTCCTGGTCCGTCTTCCTCAACTCCCCCATCTCCATTATCTCCATCTTCTAATCCCACTCCAGGTCCTTCTCAGTCTCCATCGCCTTCTTCAACCACTCCAGCTCCTGGTCCTTCATTCTCAACTCCACCATCTCCATCACCTCCGTCTTCGAATCCCACTGCAGGTCCATCTCAGTCTCCATCGCCTTCTTTTTCAACAACGCCAACATCCGGCCCTGCTCCTCTTTCGAGGACTCCACCATCTCCATTTTCTCCAGCTTCTACTCCAAGCCCATCAGCTTCCACTCCTGAGCTTCCTCCGGGTCCAAACTCACCTTCATCCTCACCATCAGGCTCTCCTCCATCATCTTCTAGCCCAGGTGGTTCCCCAGATTCGAGCCCCCCTTCAAATTCTACTCCAGTAGCCTCTCCTGGTCCATCATCTGTGATTCTTCCTCCTCCTGGAAGCCCATCTTCGAGTTCATCAAATTCTCCTTTCCCACCCACCCCAGGATCTTCAGGGCCCGGTACAAACTCTTCCAGCCCTGGACCACTACCATCACCCTCGCCATCTGATAACAACACGACGAAGATCGTAGTTCCCATCGTTGCATCGCTTGCAGGACTGGGATTACTTCTAACTTGCTGCTTTGGTCTCGCTTGCCTCAAAAAACGAAGGCGTGAAGCTGGTGATTTTATGTGATCGGATACCTGCAAAACTGTACTCCCATGTTTCTTTGTACATCTATTTCCTACGGATAATATAAGTCACACTTTTGCATCGACACATGAGAGTGATCACCGATGAAATTCTCACCATGCCATCAAGCATATGTGGGAGTGGCAGCAGCCTGGTTGTCGCGACAGAATGTGATGACGAGGATGAAACTCCGATGAGCTTATGTAAATAAATGATCCTGCTCATTTTGTACATTCTCAGGGACTGGTCGCACGCACCGCGAGTCAATCAATACTGTCGTGGATCGATGTCTCGTTAAGATTTGTAGATTGGCAGTGCTTTACATCAGAGCATATTCTTGATCCAGACACGTAGTGTACATTAGCAAGTCTTAGATCTTCATAGAGGACCATGTATTTTCAGATTCCTCGAGAGATGAGAAGGACGGATGACGAATCCAAGAACGTGTGAAATAATGATACAGCTTCTCCTGTGAAAATTGTACCTCCTTGTAACCTTGTGTTGGATATGCCATGATTACTGGATGGTCTTCATTCATAAAGCAAGCTCGACGGCCCTACGATTTTAAGATTTGGGTTTTTCTTTGAAGTATGTGTCCGATTGGTGTACCTCTGGTACAGCCATCATATGATTACTTCGTAATCAGATATCTTCTCTTCGAGTCCAATTACAGCTTGCAAAGCTTTCAGTCTGACTTCCAATTGAGGATTACTCGAGCACAATCCCGAATAAAATTGGTCAAAATTTAGCATCAGAGACATTGTGACTCTTGATCAAACGAGTAAGAACAGCTGTAACAAGAATCAATCTTGCTTTTCTGCTCTTTTCTCATTGTGAGCACTGGGGTTTGTGGATTTATTTGTCGCAGTGATTTAATTCATCGGGTGAAACTGTTGCTGCACACTGATGCTGTCAGCCACATTTGTACGTTGAATCCCAATTGCTAGATGTAATGCTATAACAAGTAGTATCTTATTCCATCGTAAACGACTACTCGATCGAAACTAAAGCCAGATGATAATAATGTACGGTATATAAATCCATTTCATTCGCTCCTCCTTCAGTTCGTCCTGAAGCCGTTGTTTACCCTTCAGCGTTCTTGTACATTCAGTGAGATACGAGTGTGCGAGGCCATGTATGATATTTTTAAGGAATCACTATCAATATACGCGTGCTTGTATGCAATTTACCACACGCTGGGCTCAGGAACGGTTTCATGACTCAGATATATATATCAAAGATTTGTATATATTCATAGCATCTGCCATCTTTGCTATCCTGAATCTGATGAAGAGAATGTGCAAGATAAATGGCATGCAAGGATAGAAGGTGTTCAGAACTGAACCCGAATCAAGCTGTCGAAACCTGAAACTCCACTACAACACCAATATCTGGCAACAGGGAATCTGGTGAGCGTCCGAGGCAGCTTAGCTACCAACAGGTGAAATCCATCTTCAACTTTCAGGTAACAGTATATTTCGCTCTGTCCTGATAACTAGCTGAATGTGACTGTTCGCTCTTTTTATAGAACAGTGATTTGGCCACGCATGCAAGGTAACGCGAAAATTATGAAGATTCTTCTATTCCGTCTGCTTACCTCATTCACGCGGATCTTCAAATCGACTACATGAAATAAGAGGGCATAAAATCTGATAGTCTACTGCATTGCGCCGGCACTCCTACACAGTATTGATATTCAGAGCTTCATTACTTGTTGATTCTTAGAGACCAGGAGCTACCGACAAGCCCTTCCTGATATGCCCTCTACTTATGATGAGATCGTAGCAATAGGAAAGGACTTCGCCGGTTATGACCACCATAACGCGTATAGACAGGGATGAACTCAAGCACCTAAAGCAGTACGTACTCATGTGTCCTCGTCAGATCGCTTCGAAGCGCAGCTGGAAGTTTTGGACTATACCACATCGACAAGACTATTTTGGATCAGTGCGAGAGTCGGTCTATTTCTCAGCTCCGAGCACCAGGCTCCTTCGCACTCAATCATCGATCCTGTTAAGACTGTGCCCTTTGGTGACGTTGTACAGACAGGTGAGCATGATACTGATGCATCACTCTAACAAACCCGGAAGTTCCATTTGACAACTCGCTCCATCACAATATCCAGAGAAACTATATGTAAACCTACGGTAAGGGTATAACACCTGCGCGCATTCATAGATTTGTAGTAATTCTCACTTCGTGATAGAAGTTAGAACAGATAGAACGAGGGGAATAGTGGTATATGCTTGGATATGCCAGATTTCAGCATCAAGGCTTCTAATTAAACACACTATGCAAGCAACGACTTCAGTTGTCAACAATTAGAACCATCAGGAATCTCATCATCATATTTGAAGAGAAACAGGGAATGGTCACCGCGCCCTGAGGTGTCGATGAGATACATCAACTCCCGTACTGTTCACATCTGGAATTCCGTCTGAAAGTCACAACAAATAAACAATTCGCCAATAAATTGGAAGAGCAAGTCACGATTCGATTCTTTACGCTTGTGTACTCATACGCACGTCTGGACTGAGGCTGCTAAAGCGCCTTTGTTCGTTTGTGAGGATGGTCAAGATTGCTGAAGGACTGACTTCCCGAGCTGTGGATCATGGCAACCATACAATGCAATAATTTCCCATAGCTCAGATCTAACATTTAGAGAAGACAGTACTCGAGCTCCGATCTCTAGGAAATGCATTCATTCAATGACTTACAGCAGAATATAGATCAGCACTCCCAACTCCTGATTTTCATTAATAAACCTCTTTCGTTCTTTAGGGACATCCTTGACATCTGCAGCACTTCGATCCTTACGTTTATACCACCGGCATCAATGACGGTTGATACATCCAACATCGTGACTGGTTGATGAAATCACTCGAATGTGACTCCCAGAGTCCGACGGACATAGGATTGGTACGACAATCAGAAGGAATCCTACACTCGAGAATTTTGAGGTTCTTGGGTTCGTAGTCGAAGTTTTCTTCCACGAAGTACAGATTTTGGCCCTGCCCCACGCAGCGCAAGCAAGTTCTACAACCCATGCGCGAAGGAAACAACCACGCGAACGAGCCCACCTCTCTGGTCAAGCTGTCCAGAATTTTTATCCAGGTTGGCTTCAAATCCAGGAGCATGTAGAACTCGTACCATCGCCACGAGGTAGATTCCAGCACGACCAACCGGCCCTGATGCTCGAAGAGCTGCAGAGATACTTGCCACCATGTCCACTGGTGCTGTATGGACGTGGGAAGAGAGACATTGGTCCAACAATCGTTTCTCGTGTCGAAATCCAGCAGCCGCCAAACGATCCCCACCGTGTGCACCTGCTCGTACTTCAGCAGGAAATAAATGTGTCCATCGCAAGTCAGCGAGGGATCCGGTCGTGGTTTCACAGGTTGGCCGTAGTTCTGATCTCCAGGACCCAGGAGCGAGGGATCTATAAACGAGGCAGCGATCATCTTCCATGACTTGGTGGCAGAGCTGTAAATCGCCGATTCCCTCTTCCCGTCCGCATCCTCGCGCAGACCTGCGACCACAATTTTGTACTGTCCCGTCTCTCTCGACGCCTCCATCCCCACCAGGAAGTCGTCCATGTTTCCATGTTTTCTCCTCCCAGTTCTCGATCCATTCTCCGGTATTCGTTCCTTCTGTCCGAACGATGGAGGTAGCCACAAATGCTTCCAACTCTTTGTAACCAGATTACAAACGATCATGTGGCCATAGGTGCCTGTCGACAAGCAAAGAAGCCCTCCATCCGTCGCCACGAACTGCAGTGAGTCCAGAGGCGAGTCCAGAAGCGAGTGCGTCTCTCGATCCAGATGCCGATTGACGGATTGAGGTTTTTGGAAAAAATCCAGCGAGATCCGAAGCCATTTGGATTTTTCGGTGTCCAGAGTCATGATCAAGCCTTTGTCACATGTACAGAAGACACTTTTGGGGTCATGAAGCGGTTCCCGAGTTTCTCGAGGCAGCTGGCGGTAAAACTGGGACGACAGGATCGCCGAGTTCCAGAATCTGCTCAGGAGACGAAACTGCGCGAGGCAGGGAGTAGGAAGCGCCCGAAGATGAAATCGGACGATGATCTCTATTATGTCCTCGGGTAGATTGCTCCACAGGGCAGGATCGAGGTCGATTTCCATCGATCTGGTGACAAACGAGGTCCTCGTCGTCGTGGAGACTTCGCTCGGGCCTCAGCAGAGTGCAACACTCTCCTCAAAGGTTGACACGAGCCGATCGACCTTCAGGTGAGACCAGAGCTCCATCCACGGACTGAGAATCGCACATGCCATGCCATGCCACTCGCGATTGCAGCCGCTCCAGACTGGTGATCGGGAGAGGTTGCAACCACGCGATGAGAGCTGCAAATGAGAACAACGCTGCACCTCGAGCTTGGAAGCCTCTTCATTTGAGGCTCCAGACTCTCCCTCCCTCCCTCCCTCCCTCCCTCTCGCTTTCCGACCGTTCAGCTCCTCGAGCTGAAACCGTGATCTGATTTGTGATCGTTGGTTTCGGTGGTTGGAAATTCAACTTGCTGCCTGTGCCGGTGCAGCATTCTGGCTGCGAGCTTTGCCTCGGAGTTTACCGTTTGGAAGCTCGAGGCACTGAGTTGAAGGCATCTCGTGGTCCACAGCATATCAGTCAACACTCGGCCTTGATTCAGTTGCAGAGGTTCTGAAATTCGCATGTCTACTGTCAAGTGAGGACTAGGAGTAGAAGGGGAAGATGGAACACTATCGAGGAAGAGCCGAAGCTCGAAGGCACAAGATATCGAGGACCTGCGGGATTGACTGGGCTCGATTAATGTCTTGATCGTGCTCGTTCGAAAAGACTCTAGCGTTTCCCTGTATCTAGCTGGAGGAGCTCCAAAGGCTCCAGCCCTCTGCAGGAAGCGATCGAGCGAACGAGAGGTCCGAAGCAGATTGTTGTGTAAGTAGTCCACGACGAGGCCGACATGTGATTCTATCAATGTGCGTGGGCAAGGGCGGGGCATCTGTGATTTCGCTGTCACCTTGGTGGTGTGAATGAGCCACAACGTGAAAGGGCTCGTGCGAAGAACGCCTTGAGACCTCTGCTTAAATTATTGGACGAAGTTCAGATCGAACCTAAGTGGAAACTGATTTTTAGGAAAGGGACCTAAAATCTTCTTCTTCTGATCATGATGCAGAGCGCTTTATCGTCATATTCCTCGTCATATCGAAGTGACACTCCGAAGGCTGCAACTTCGTAATCTTCGTTGGATAGCGTCAAGACATTTGACAGCTTCTGATTCTAATAATCTGTTAAGGAAATAATCTCTACTATTCAAGTTCGAAGAATGTCAAGACTCACCATGTGCAGTAGAGGAGAGTATCAAGTCCTGCAGGTTACGGAAACATCATTCCATTCGCTCAAATATCTGTATTTTCAACCATGATGACCACATTGTACAGCCCATCTTTTCCTGGCCCCTCGGCCTTGTTTGTGTCCAGCATCCTTATGGAGAAATTATTGAGAATCAAACAGATTATGTCCAGGCACATAAACTCTACCACCGCCAGGACAGTCTTCTGTAGAATTCCCAAGATCTCAATACTGATCGGACGAACAGTGCCATCTACAGACAGCAGGGATAACACGGAAATGACATTTGTGAAATGATTAAAGCAGACTCGGTGTGGACAACCGACGCCATGGCAAGAGACGCCTTCATCTGATAGAGAATATGTGTCTCTGTAGCACATATATTATGGACACAGAGTTGAATTCTTAATTTTCCCTTGAAAGGTGAGCAATCTGTCTTTTGTACCTGCGAGATTGGGAGACAGATTTGATCGAAGGAAAGAGCAATAGGAAACAGAAACTTTTGGAATGAAATCTCACGACAGAAGCTGGGCCTGGACATGCATATCTTACCATAAGAAACGTATTTTACATATCTTCGCACAAATAAACAAATCACATTAGTTATAATTAAGAAGTTTAATTTTCGAAGTTTCCCCTAAGACAGGGCCCCAATAAAGCTCAGGCCATCAACCAATCGTAAAGATCACATTAGTGTCGACATGAGTACTCTAATCTAACAGACGTGTTTGAAATACTCTAAATCTTGCAGCCGGAGTCTTTGAAATCCAATCTGACCCCTCTTTCGAATTCTACTCTTGAAACCTCGTTGTCGATAAAAATGCAATACGCTCTAAATGCAAAATCCATTGCTGATTGTGATATTGCATATAAATCATAACAAGCGATGGGGATATATAAATCATAGATCGTATCCAGACACGTAAATAATTAGTCGTTATTTCACTTGCACCTTCCTCTCTTTATTATGTTGAAATCCTCCCGCATAATAATGCCATAATGACTCAAAGACGGAGTACAAATTTCGGTTTCTAAGTCCAAAGATCTACTAGGAAGCAAACCATTCACTATCGCTAATCACATAAGCTAAAAAAGCTTGGTGAGAGAAGTCATTTTATTAAACTTCAGATTTTCTAAAGCTAAAAATAAATTTTATAAGACACTTCAATATTATTTTCAAAAAATATTCCAATCATTAATTATAATCATTAATTTTCTCCAATCTACCTTAGTATTATATTGTTACATCCATGTCATTTTAAATATGACATTGTATCGCGTTAAACAAATTATTTTTCATTTATTATTTTTATTCTGTTTTTTTAGGAATAATTATGCATTCCATAATATTATTTCTATCACTTCAGTTTATTCGTTTCGCAATCTATTTTTTTTAAATTTTATAATTATTTCATCAACATCAAACCTAATTTCATAGCAATATTTATTGATAGAAAATTTTCTATTGCTTCAAGATCAATTAGAATTCTCACCTTGTGTCATTTTTAATTTTTTTTCGTAGTACTACCAATAAGGTTTAAAAGTTTTTCCTCAACCTCTTCATATTTACTTCCATGTTATTGAATGATCGTCACTGTAAAGGCCGTACTCCTTGTGATACCGGTCAAATTCGTCAAAACTTGGCAATGTGATTCATTCAACCACATGCATAGTTTGACTATTATCACAAACTCATGCTCCTTATCCAACCATTTTGTTATTTACGTGACTTTCTTGCAAATATGGACATCATGGTTATCGAATCTCATTTCCAAATCTTGGTGATGTTATTTTTGTTAGTCCAAAATCTTATTAACGTTGAAGGTTTTCCAACTTCATCGGTGTTGAGCCAGATGGATCTTGAAAATTGTTTACTCGTTCACTGTGTGTAACACGAAAAGCATCCAAACTTTGTTGAGCAATTGCGATTGACTCATTCATTGTGGATGGATTGCCTACCATCACCTCTTTTTGAATTTGATCATTCAAGCTTTGTTTGAACACTTTCAAAGCTTCTGCTCTACTCATTTACTTAATAGATATTTGAAGATCATAAATTCTTCAATGTACCGATGGATACATTTTGCTTCAAATCTCACAATTTCATTCTTGTAGTTCGAAGAGAGTTCACAGGTTGAAAATTTTGTAGAAGTACTTCTTGTATATCACTCCACAAAGAGTAGCATCTGGTTTTGATAGCATTTTCTCCCATGTTGTGTACCACATGAGAGATTTATACGTAAAATAAGATCTCATGAATATTATTGCAATGTAATCATAAACACGAAAATGGAATAAATGAATATTCATCATCATTCTCCAAAGCTCTAACATTCTTATTGTTTTACTTCCTTTGTAGGTTTTCACTTTACATGATGTTTTCATTCGAAGTAAAAGATTTGTTTAATCTTTAATCTTTTGAATACGTCTTTTATTTGACTCTTTTGCATCAATAGTAGTTTTCTTTTAGCTAAACTTGGGAAGCTTGAACTTGAGGTTCAAATTCCATCTTTCTAACTCTTTCTCTCTCTACTTTCTCATTCTCCAATGCGCATATTTCATCTTCCATGGTTTGCTACTTGGTATGCATATCTTAAAGATATAGATTATTCTATCACAGCTTTATAATACTCTTTCCTATAATCTTTTACAAGAAAATCTTTCAACAATCTCTTTTTTCAATATAATGTTCTAATCTTTACATATGTGTTGAACCAAACCGAGACGAAAGGTTCGCGATTCAAATCTATGAAACATTCAATATAAAATGTATATAGTCCAAAGTCTCTCCATAACTAACTTTGGAAGAATTAGTGTTACTCTTGACTTCATGAGTATAGTCATAAAATCTCCTTTCAATAAACTCCAAGATATATCCAAAAATGATGTTTCTCCATGCAACAAAGGTGAATATCAAATAGGTTAGTAATCATCTAGTGCGATATTGGAATACTCTCAAGCTCGTCCATATCTGCAAAACTACAATTTTTACCTTTTTCTCTCTCTTTACACGCAGATCAATTACTTATGCCAGCCTCTATACAATTTCAAAATTGCACTCTATCATCATTCACTTGATATTCCATAAGGAATAATCCACACTCAAGGAAAAAGCAAAGTTGCTATATAACACTAGGGTTCAGAGAAAAGTTTACTTGAAAATGAAAATATAAATTCTAAAGATGAGAGATACAAAGAGTGGTTCTCCTATACCTTATATAGCTCTGACCTGCAATTTCGTGCTGACTCTCACTCAGGTTTACCTTTGATGGCTTTGCGGTAACGCATCATGGTTCCAGAAGACTAGTATTCATATTCACACTCATGTCCCAAACACATTCTCTCACAAACTCTCCATGTATCACTCCAACTCACACACAAACTCTCCATGTATCACTCCAACTCACACACAAACTCTCCTTACATCACTCTTTTCACATAAACTCAAACACACGTCGATACTCTAACATACTCAAAAATTTCATGACTCTCCAGACTTGTACTCACACATGACTCTCCAGACTTGCTTGAGAGTTGCTACTCTACCTCTCTATTTATATTACTTGAGAAATTATCATGGTAACATGTGGTAATTTCTCATAAATTATTTTTATCTAGGTAAATTTGACTAACCCACTATATGTGGCAACATGCCATTGGCCTACTTAAACCTTCTAGAATTCTCCGGAATCCGAGGTTGAGGTGGCGACATGCCATTGGAAGCTTTAAAAATTTTACAAGCTTCTTAGCCACTAAGTCAACATTAGACTTAGCCTAGTCAATCAATCATCTTTCTTATATTGAGTCAAATCAATCAAATCTAAGCTTCTAGTCAAATATCTAATCTCTTGGAATCTAGAACTTTTGTATAAGACAAAATAGAAGTGCTCACTCCTTGTAAAAGAACTCTGCTACTTAATCCACAAACTATAGACATTGTAGCCAAACTTAGTCATGATTAGATAAATTTAGTTATAACTAACTAGTTTAGTCATAACTAGCTAGACTTAGCTAATCATACTTAATCATTTGACCACTTCTAGTACTTAGTACATATGTGCAACACCCGGTCTTACAGACCAACAAGTACAAGGAGATAATATTTTATTCCCATCATCCATCCTACTCATAGTGGATGGATGACGTGGAGTATAATCCTAACAAACACAAGGATTGTTGACGTGTCGCTCCCAACTAACACATTAACTAACACACTCAATCCTTAACTAACAATATATGGATCGTTGACGTGACATTGTAAACTAACACAACTACTATCTACCTACCAAGTGCGAGGGTCGGCGACGTGAAAGTTATGACTAGTGCACGTTAAAGTATCAATATCAATATTTAGAATAATCTCTACTTTAATCCTAATTAGCTAAAAATCGTATCGGAAATCTGACAAATTACATAAACCTCTATTGGCTTTTATTACATTTGATATTGAGTTGTCTTATAAAAGTCATTTTTAGCTTTAGAAAAACTGAAGTTTAATAAAATATCATCTTTTGAATACAACATTTTAAGTTGGATTGCAAAAATATTAGGGAATGAAGTTAACATTATTAGAAAATTATAGAATTCTAACATTATGAGCTAGATTAAATATTATTTTGTCAATCATCATTCAATTTCTGTTTTGTAGAGTGACAATGTAAGATGACTTTGAAAACGCAATATCGAAAATCTCACTTGAGCCAGTCGCTGAACTTCTTCTAAATCTTCATACACATGGAAAAGCCTTGCACCAAACAAAAACATGTGATTTTCAGTGAATAAATTGTTCAAAAAATGAAGCCCCACGATATCCCATGGATTTGCAAAATTGTAAAAATTTGTCACAAAAGATGAAGAATAAAGCTATCATCATGAGCCAATTAAGCAAGAAGACATGCTAAAGCTAATAGATTTTCTCAAATCAATTCATTTCCACAAGTTTATGCAAGAGTGCAATTCAAGTGCGAGAATCATATAGATTTCAAGGATAAATAGAATAATAAATTAGAACCTTCTTTTATGATATATCATTATATTTATATTAATTATTAACCTAAGTTACATGTATTATCTTCTATTTAAATTACAAGATTCATGAGAAGAAAGTTTTATAGCCCATACATTAGAATGAATATGTATAATACTTTCATTGAATCACTATATAGTTATATGTGTCTCTTTGTATTTTGACTAGAGAATTGATTTCTTAAAAATCACATGTTAATTCAAATCAACAATAAAATAAAATCTGAAAAAAAATTAAAAGCATTCGCAATTTCATTTTTATATTGTAAATTGATAATCAATGATGATGTTATGTACATATGTATCCACATCTTTGTTATTGACGTGTGATCTTGCTACTACACAATAGAGAGTGTGGATTCACATATATCCATGTTCAAATAGATTTCATGATAAAATTTCTAGTCATATTGTAAAATATTTGATGTTTATGATTGTTCCAAAAAGTAATATACATATGAATAAGATGGTTAAACATGAAAGTTATGATTTGACTTGTTTCAAAGCTATCACAAGAATTTCACTTTATTTAATTGGTCTGTATCTTCTATATTAAATATATTGTTTATATTATTTTATAAATATCATTCCAGAGTATTATACGACAAAAAATCATATTAAATTATCTATCAAAAAAATTATATCTTTGCTACACATGTTTAATATTATCGATATGTTGAGATTGATTTTTGTACCTCTATTTTCAAAACTTGTTGTATGTATTGTTGATTTGACGTGTACTTCCATGGTTCCTTCCCACTTGGAAGGCTCTGATCGGTTCATTGCGCGATAACCGAGTGTGAATCTAAGATCAAGTCAACACTCAAGTTCAAAAATTAAGGTCAGATACGGTAAGTAAATAGATTAATACCTTTCCACATTGAAGCGAACTAGCGAAGCAGATGGTCATGGTGTGTAACGAAAAATCTAGAAAGTACAGTCTACTTACTAACGCGGGCAAAATGTTCGGCCTTTCCTACTATCAGATCTTGAACTAATTTAATAACAATTACACCGTGAGGTCTATCTCCAGCGAGCACGATTGAAGAGAAGGATAAGTAAGCTGTCAGAAATAGCCACCATGGACGTACAGAAAGACTCCTCCATCCATGATTACAAGTGTCTCAGATTAAAGTAAAGTAGCTCAAGTGCCAAGTATGATGGGAAGTGCAAGACCTGAGTGAGAGCAATCGGAAGGAGTGGCAAGCAGACCTGGACCTTGACTCCGAGGAGTATCCGTGATATTAATCAGCTTCAGGCCCTTTCGCTTCCAGAAACTATTATATAAGCCAATTGCAAATGCATAGCTCCTAGAAGAGATTACTTGTGCAGCAGCTTCCTAATCTTGTGCATGATCTTCTCGATGTGGCAGTGCCCAACCCGAAACCTGTAGAAGATAGCATATTGAGGTTACTGTGGTCTGTTCACACGTCCCGGTGTTCAGAGATCACACAATATTCGGGCCCATCTTTGAGATTCACTTTGACATTGAGTTCGTCTCAGATCCTGCAGACTCGCAAACAGAACAATATGTTATAACTAGCAAGTATTGGAATTTTCTAATCGGTGTATTCTACAAATTACCAATTTGCACGTGCAATGGTGTCTCAAATACGTCGCAAGAGATCGTAAGCAGAGTTTGTTCGAAATCATGATCGATCATGATACAAACATCCAGGGCAGCTCCTTCCTCAGACTTCATCACGAAGCCTCAACATTCCACATTTTCAAATTCAATTGACAGTTTCAATTGACGCTTGCTCCTCTGGTCGTCAGTCAAAGTAGGTTCTGATTCTGTATCGTGTCAGTGGACAGTCGACTCTCTCAACCCGAACAGTCAAATCACTGGAAGCAACGTAATATAGGGATTTGTGTGATCTCGGGCATCCATGCATGATATTCATCCTCGGTTCACCACCATAAGCGGCGATAGGCCAGGCCAGGAGAAATAGAAATCTTATTGAATGTTCAGATTATGATTGTGAAGCATTCACATTCGATCCTTCAAATGTTTGTCAATCACGTTAGTTACCAACTGAAGCCGGAAACAGATCAGTCTCGTCAAACAAGAGAAAGAAGAAAAGAAAAGCTTGTACATGTCCCTGGAGGGTCATATTCCTGATCACAAGCCACCTGGAGCTCGAGGATGGGGTCGGAACAGGTCACGTGCGGAAGAGGCTCGAGAAGAATATGACCTCGTGGGGAGCTTTACTCAGGAAGGTGAAACCGAAGCAGGTCGACTAGGATGATGCACCGCTTCGACCTTGTTACCCTTCCTCTTCCTCCTCCTCTGTGCTGAGCCGAAAGTTCCAAATGCATATCTAGCTACCTTGCAGCTCAAACCACCGTAACTTTCATGAGCTCGAGCCAAGTTAGGTTCTATCGACGGAAGGCTCCATACCAGTTCAATAAGCAGGAGCGAGTAGATTGCAGAAAGGTTCATAAGGTTCGCACATTTGTATGAATTTCGGGTCGCTCACCGTCGAGAGGACCGAGGAGTCCGGAAGTAGTGAGCTCGGAGTAGTGGATTTCAAATTCTAGGAGCTTTTTAGATTTATTAGCTAGGTCCTGACATGAGCGACTAGGTCCTTACATAATCGTGAATCAGATCGCTGGATTCGTTTTCTGTACTGATAGTGTGAGAAATTGCGTTGTGAAAATTATTTCGTGTTTTGAGGTTGTGTGATTCGTCTTGAATATCTGAAGGAAGCTGAAATTTCAGGCTCAGTGATGGAAGATCTCAGCCGGATGTAGCGACAGGAACTCTCTATTTGATCTATCGTATCGTCGTGTCGCTCCAAGATGTCAGCCATGAAATCGCAGTCAGTTACAATTTAGAAAACCTCGCAATCTCTCGTTCCGATCAGCTCAGCTCAAACCAGCCCAGCTCAACGAGAGATTCAACCGAAAACCAAAAAGATCCGAATCGACCGAGCACAAACCGTCGACAGCGATGGCCTCGTCACTCGTCCTCTGTCTTGTGTCACTGCTGATGGCGACGATCTCGACGACGACGTCCACGCCGCAGGAATTGAATCGAGATGCAAACTCAGACCCGACCGATCGGCCCTCTGGAAGCCCGGGGCGATCGGAGACGCCCGAGATGTCTGGCGGTCCGTGGCGCAGCATCCAGGCCGAGCTGGTGCACAAGGACCACCCGCTGCGGGCAGCTCCGGGGAGCCTGTCGTTAAAGGAGAGAGCGGAGCGCGACTTCTTGTCGAGCAGGAGGCGGTCGGAGTTGCTGCGGTCGCGGCACGAGCGGTGGCTTGCGGCCGGCGACGGCGTGCTGCCGACGTACGTGAGCAACCTGACGTCGAGCGTGAACGAGGCCGAGTACGTCATGACGATCTCGCTGGGCACGCCGGCGCAGAACTTCGTCGCGATCGCGGACACGGGAAGCGACCTGACGTGGCTGCAGTGCCAGCCGTGCGCGCACTGCTTCCCGCAGGCGGACCCGCTGTACGACCCGTCGAGGTCCTCGTCGCACGCCAACCTGACCTGCATTGACAGCGCGTGCCAGAGGTTCACGTCGCAGTACCCGGGCTCGAGTTACTCCAACTGCCCGCTGCAGTCGAGCTCGAGATCGAACGCGAGCTGCAACTTCTCCTACTACTACGGCGACGGCTCCAACACGACGGGCGACCTCGTCGTCGACACAATCCACCTAACGTCCACCGACGGCGCCGTCGCGGACGTGCCAAACTTCGCCTTCGGGTGTTCGCAGAGCAGCTTCAGCGACTCGGGCCTCTCCACGACTAACGCCGACGGGCTCGTCGGGCTCGGCCAGGGCGACATCTCCTTCCCGTCGCAGCTCGGCGCCAGCTTCGGCAACATCTTCTCCTACTGCCTGGTCCCCCCCAGCGCGACGCTGACAAGCCGTCTCCTCTTCGGGAGCGCCGCGCTGTCCAACGCGACGGGCATCCAGTACACCCCGATGCTGTCCAACTTGACGACGTTCTACTTCGTCGGGCTCCAGGCCATCAGCGTTGCGGGCCAGCCGCTGGACATCCCCAGCTCCGTCTTCGCCAACAACGGCACCGACGGCGGGACGTTCTTCGACTCCGGCACGACGATCACGCAGTTGGAGCCCCAGGCGCTGGACGCGCTGGTCACCGCGCTGGCCGCCGCGATTCCCTTCCCGCAGATCCCCAGCACGATAAGCGGCTCCGATCACTGCTGGAACGCGTCGGGCCTGACGAACGCCGATATCGGCGCGCGCGTCCCGACCGTCTCGTTCAACTTCACCGGCGCCAACTACGACCTGTCCTACGACAATACGTTCTTGACCTTCGACGACGCGAGCTTCTGCCTGAACATCGGCCGCGGCGTGCTCGGGTCGGGGTCCATTATCGGCAACTACCAGCAGCGCAACGTCTACGTGGTCTACGACCGCGCCAACAGCCAGATCGGGTTCGTTCCGCGCAACTGCAGCGACGCAGTTTCCGTCTAGCCTTCTACCAACACCGGGACGTCGTCCGCTTCCAGGTCTGCGTCCGCCGGCACCAGGTTCAGAGCCGGCCTGGAGCGCGTGATGACGCGCGTCCTCCTTCTACAAATGTTATCGGTCATTTATTTATATCTTTTATAGAGTGTTGTAGATATCTCCCGTCGCTAGCTTAGGAGGGTTTTAGATTTTGCCATGATTCTCTGCTTGTAAGAAAACGCCGTGCCAAAACTCTGTCAATGTACATTTGTAGATATTACGTCTGCAGCCTTCGCAATCCAAAGCTTTTGTGAGCTCTGTTGCCCACAACTAGTTCCAGTTTTAGAAGAAAGTATTTCGCCTGAAGCTCGAGGTAGGGAAATGGTTGGAAATCACTCACTCATGGGGTTCACCAGTTTTTCCACCGGAATTCTGAGCTGCGATCTGGAGCAGCTTCGTTTTGGTTCGCCGTCATGAACTTGTGAGTGATGCGAGTTCCATTGGTGTCGAGTGCTCCACGGAAGGAGGCCCGCAGTTACTGAGCTGGTTCGGTTGTAGTCGTCCATGCAAATCGAAAACGAGAGATCTACATTTCGGTTCGGACAGATTCAGATTCGCACACGCATCAGAAACAGAGCAATTTTCTCCCTCGAGTGAATCGATGATATGTTGAACGCATAAGCTTGCAACCGCACAAGAAAATGCACATCAGTTTTCTGCAGTGATTGAATTTTCCCCACATAGAACAACATAGCTTCGTTGTCTTTGGTTCATTTGCATGGCTCCCGATTGCGCGTGAATCTGGATATAGATTGAGAGTTCGAGAGATGGTGGTGACTCACCGCCTAGTACAATTACATTTATGACAAGATCCTGGAGTGTAGAAGAAGACGATGGATGCATCTACTCTGGGCTCGACTACCTGGTAATTCCAACCCGACATGTGGGTATAAAATCACGACCGGTTGATTCTTCATCACTCTGAGAAAATCTACCCTCGGTGGTTACATTGGACCTGCCACATTCCTCTGGTGTTGGTGGTGGTTGCGTATGTGCTAACAACAAACCAAATTAAGCATTGGATTGTTTATTAAGTCGTGCAGTTAAATAGGGCTCTGAGTCATAAACTTTTTGGACTCGATTCCTTCCAAGTCTGGAGGTACCTAGAAGCTGAGCCTTAGCCGGTCTGGGGATGCGCAGAGATCACAGAAGATTAGAAGGACAGATACGAGATAGCTCTGTCGAAATTCTTCACCGAGCATATGTATATGGGATTCTCTGGCTCCACAGGTGACGATGATTGATTCCCTACTATTCGGAATTGGTGGTTTCAATCATGGGGCCTTCCATTGCTCCCGTCACCACCACCTGAGATCATCTTACCACTTCCTCCACCACCGTCCTCGCCTTTTCCTCCAAGTTCTCCCCCTTCTGAAAATCCTCCAAGTCCGTCACCTCATCCTCCCCCAGGTCCAGTTGCTCCATCTCCAACACCTCCAGGTCCAAGCCCCTTGTCTCCTCCTCCATCGACATCTCCATCGCCTCCCACGTCCCCGACTACTCCTCTTTCACTACCTGCTCCCATTGCCCAGTCTCCTTCGTCAAGTTCACCAAATGCAACAGCCCCCATCTCTATCGGGGGCAGTACCACCACCACAAGTGCATAGCCCAGTTCCCTCCCCGCCGAATGCGAACTCACCAGGACCATCAGGACCTGCGATTTCTCCTCCCAATGGAAACTCCTCAGCTCCATCACTATCTCACTCGAATGCTTTAGCACCCGGTCCCAGTTCTCTTTCACCACCAGGTTCTTCTCCAGTGAAACCCCCTGCTTCAGGCCCATCAGGACCTCCTACCTCCTCTCAGTCTCCATCGCCTTCTTCTTCTTCTTCACCATCTGGACCAGCGATCCAGATCATCATCCATCTCAGTCTCCTTCTTCTTCCACGTCTCCAGCAACTGCTCCTCCTCCTCCAACATCTCAACTCGCGCCAGCTTCAACTCCAGCTTCTGGTCCATCCCAGTCTCTGGCACCTTCTTCCATTTCCCCAGCAGCCAAGCTTTGATTAGACGTTGAGTTCAGGTGTAACTCATATTGTAACTTGTGTTAATATTTATGCTCTATAGTGCGCTAGCGTTTTATACCATCCGTTTTATTTTTCACAATTCTGTGTTTTTTATTTGCGACTATACAGTTTAGTTTGTGTTGTGTTCTCTGTCCGGACCACGTCCAGTGCACATGGGAAGTGGGAAGATCATTACTCGAGTCGAAATCCAGCAGCCGCCAGACGATCCCCACCGTGTGCACTTGCTTGTACTTCAGCAGGAAATTAATACATCCATCGCAAGTCAACGAGGGACCCGGTCGTCGTTTTACGGGTTGGACGTAGAACTGATCACCAGGACCCAGGAGCGAGGGATATATAAACGAGGCAGCGATCATCTTCCATGGCTTTGCGGCGGAGTTGTAAATCGCCTACTCCCTCTACCCGTCCGCATCCTCGCGCAGACCTGCGACCACAATTATGTACTGTCCCGTCTCTCTGGACGCCTCCGTCCCCACCAAGAAGTCTTCCATGTTTTTCCCTTCCAGTTCTCGATCCATTCTACGGAATAAGTTCCTTCTGTCCGAACGATGGAGACAGCCACAAATGCTTCCAACTCTTTGTAACCAGATTACAGACGATCATGTGGCCATAGGTGCTCGTCGACCGGCACAGAAGCCCTCTATCCGTCGCCACGAACTGCAGTGAGTCCAGAACCGAGTGCGTGTCTCGATCCCGATGCCGATTGAGGGATTGAGGTTTTTAAAAAAACCCGAGCGAGATCCGAAGCCATCTGGATTTTCCGGCGTCCAGAGTCATGATCAAGCCTTTGTCACATGTACAGAAGACACTTTTGGGGGCATGAGGTGGATCCCGAGTTTCTCGAAGCAGCTGGCGGTAAAACTCGGTCGACAGGATCGACGAGTTCCAGAATTTGCTCAGGGAATGAAACTGCGCGAGGCAGGGAGTAGGAAGCGTCCGAAGATGAAATCGGATGATGATTTCTATTCTGTCCTCGGGTAGATTGCTCCGCGGCAGGATCGAGGTCGATTTCCATCATCTGGTGACAAACGAGGTCCTCCTCGTCGTCGCGGAGACTTCGCTCGGGCCTCAGCAGAGTGCAACACTCTCCTCAAAGGTTGACACGGGCCGATCGACCTTCAGGTGAGACCAGAGCTCCATCCACGGACTGAGAATCGCTCATGCCATGCCATGCCACTCGCGATTGCAGCAGCTCCAGACTGGTGATCGGGAGAGGTTGCAACCACGCGATGAGAGCTGCAAATGAGAACAACGCTGCACCTCGAGCTTGGAAGCCTCTTCATTTGAGGCTCCAGACTCTCCCTCCCTCTCTCCCTCCCTCCCTCCCTCCCTCCCTCTCGCTTTCCGACCGTTCAGCTCCTCGAGCTGAGACCGTGATCTGATTTGTGATCGTTGGTTTCAAATGTCTTTGGAAACTCAACTTGCTGCCTGTGCCGGTGCAGCATTCTGGCTGCGAGCTCTGCCTCGGAGCTCAGCGTTTGGAAGCTCGAGGCACTGAGTTGAAGGCATCTCGTGGTCCACAGCATCTCAATCACCACTCGGGCTGGATTCAGTTGCAGAGGTTCTGAAATTCGCATGTCAAGTGAGGATAGGACGAGGAGTAGAACGGCAAGTTGGAACACTATCGAGGAAGAGCAGAAGGTCGAAGGCACACGATATTGAGCACCGGCGGGATTGACTGGGCTCGAGCAATCGTGTTCGTTCGAAAAGAGTCTAGACTTAAGACTTAACATGTGCAGTAGGGGAAAATATCAAGTCCTGCAGGTTACGGAAACATCATTCCACGCTCAAGTATCTTTATTTTCAACCATGATGACCACATTGTACAGCCCATCTTTTTCTGGCCCCTCTATACAGTTGCCCGGGCCTGGTCACTGCGACCTCCTTTCTGAGGAGGCACCCCTTCTCCCGAAGTTACGGGACTTGTTTGTGTCCAGCATCGTTATGGAGAAGGTTTTGAGAATAAAAAAGATATTGTCTAGGCACATAAACTCTACCATCGCCAGGACAGTCTTCTGTAGAATTCCCAAGATCTCAATACTGATCAGACGAACAGTGCCATCTACAGATAGCAGGGATAACACGAAAAATGACATTTCTGAAATGATTAGAGCATACTTGGTGAGGAGAACCGGCGCCATGGCAAGAGACGCCTTCATCTGATAGAGATGATGTGTCGCTGTAACAAAAAGTAGTTTTTTATACCGTGGCATGCCCTTCAAGCAGTGCAGCATCTCTTTATGGACACTAAGTTGAATTCTTAATTTTCCCTTGAAAGGTGAGCAATCTGTCTGTTGTACCTGCGAGATTGGGACACAGATTTGATCGAAGGAAAGAGTAATAGGAAACATAAACTTTGGAATAAAATCTCACGACAGAAGCTGGGCCTGGACATGCATATCTTACCATGAGAAACTTATTTTTCATATCTTTGTACAAATAAATAAATCGCAGTAGTTATAATTAAGAAGTTTAAATTTCGAAATTTCCCCTAAGACAGGGCCTCAATAAAGCTCAGCCCATCAACCTATCGTAAAGATCACATTAGTGTCGAAATGAGTAGTCTAATCTTAAAGCCGTGTTTGAAATACTCTATTCTTGCAGCCGCGGTTTTTGAGACCCAATCTGAACCCTCATTCGAACTCTACTCTTGAGACCTCAGTGTCGATAAGATTGCAGTAGGCTCTAAATGAACAATCCACTGCTGTTTGTGCTATTGCACGTGCTCTTCTGTACTGCTATATAAATCATAACAAGCGATGGGGATATATAAATCACACAGCGTATGAAGACAGGTAAGTAGTTAGTCGTCATTTCACTTGCACCTTGAACATTCCTCTATTAATCCTGTCACAATCCTCTCGCAACATAACAGCGTTGAGGCTCAAAGACAGAGAACAGAGTTCGGCTTCTTAGTGTAAATCATCTATTAGGAAGCAAACAATTCACTGTTGAAGCTTAAAAGCTGTCGAACCATGTAAAAACATCGACAGGACACTGGAATGCGGAGGTGAGTTTGAATAATTGCATTCGTTTTCAAACTACTGAGAGAAAACCTGGACTTCGTCACGGTTGTCGTGGAATTGTCGGTTTTACGTGAGATGTGTGGTAGACGAGCGGATTGTGAGGACTCGTGTTAGCTAAAGTTTCAAGTCTCGGTGCTTGTTGAGATTGACCCGGTTACGGTTCCTCTTAATACAGCGAGGTCTCTTAATACAGCACTCCGCCTGTGTGACGTCAGCTGTCAACGGGGATATTAGTAGCTCTGTGTGACTGTAAGGTAGTGTGGCTGGTGACATCCTGTCGAACAATCTGTCAGTTTGAAGTGCTTCCCCAAAACATGAAGCTTCGAAAACCCATCAGTCTTATATTATGCTGCGTACGCGTCTTTCACTCGAACAATTCCGCATGCGAATGGAGTCAGTCTGCATTCTCTGTGTATCATATGAAGAAATTTATGGACTGTTTTCTCCACGTGATAGCCTTACTCTTTAGGCTGTAAAGCTGACTCACAAAAAGCGCTCAAAGTCAGAATTTGTTCACGAGTCGTCCATGGGTTATAACCTCACCAAGCAAGCATCCCAGGTGTGGACTAAAGGATTGCACGGTGTCTAGGATTTGGTGTATGCTTACATGGATATTTCATGTTGAGGTTTTTAATGGTGTTCACACCAAAGTTTGTAGTGGTTTTTGTGACGGGGAATATCAATGTCGTAAATTTTTGAAATACCCGTACCTTTGGCATCAATATTTACTCGTTTGTGTGACACAAATCACATTTAGCTGCATGCTACTGTATATAACATCCAGAATTTGATTAGGCTCATATATTATTCTCTGATGGAGCTTCTAGCACGTTCACGTAGAAACATGTACATTTAACAAGGTCTTTGAGATGAAACTAATGGGTCGAGTCACATTACATTTTTTTCCTAATTTAGATACTCACATCTAAATGCCAGTTTTTGCTGGGTTTGATGGTACTCAAGCTTATTTAAGAATATTTACAAATTTCAAACTTGGGACTTTTTTTTATCTCCTCTCAAGCTAAAGATGCATGATGTGCACTTTAAATGTTTTGTTCAAAAAGTTACCTTTCAAGAAAGCAATTAGGAGGAAGACAATGGTTGAAACAGTATTAAATGCACCCAGAATCCTCACTCTTTATCCTTCACATGTGATTTGTACTTTATATAGACAATGTCTTGTAAGAACTATTTATCTTTACAAGAAGTTGAAAATAAGAAGAGTCAACACATGAACTGTTATGTAAAGGGTTGATATCATAAGTTGAAAAAGTAATAATAAAGCGGATGTGAACTCACATAATCTTGTGTGATACATGGAAACTTGAAAGAATGGACATGCAATCATTTTTCAAATTATTCCAAATTCAATTACACGAATAGGAATCTAGACACATCCACCTCTACATTTTGTTCAAAAAAACAAAACGGTAAAAGATTGTGCCAACACCAAGGAGGAAATTATATGCACCTTGAACTTGCTTGAGTAATCCGCCGGAGGTGCGTGGAAAAGAACTTTTTGTGTTCTGGAAGCCGACCAGGGACCATATATGCCTTGATATTGTAGACAATCTCTTCTCTTTTATAAAAGATGAAAAGTAATAGAAAGTTCTATAAAGAATAGAGAATTTTACCATTTTCGTAAAATGGAAGAATATATTTCTATACAAAAGAAAATGATAGAAATAGACTGGAAAATTGGAAATAGAGCTGCAATTATCAACAACCTCAATATTGAAATCAGAAAAGTCACCAAGATCGGTTTGTAGAAAGATGTGGAGGGACATGACAGATGACATCAACCTCCGTTGACTTTTAGTACATTTGATATTGAGATGTCTCATTAAAGTCATTTTTAGGTTTAGAAAAAACTGAAGATTAATATAAGATCATATTTGAAATAACATAGCATTTAAAGCTGTGGCAAAGATAGTCACAAAATATCAGTGAAGGAAGAAGTGAATCAAATTTGAATTGTGGTTTTACTTTGCTGACTTTGAAAAAAATTGTGAGCTAGAGTAAACATTTTTTGTCAATCATCATTCAATTGCTGTTTTTTTAGAGAGACATGGAGTGACGAATCAAGATGACTTTGAAAACAGAATATTGGAAGCCTAACTTAAGCTAGTCGCTGAACTTCTTCAAATCTTCAAACACACCGAAAAGTGTAATAACCCACCAAAGGCTAAAACTGCAATATAGTGGTAGAAAGGTCGAACCCACAGGGACAGGGGCAACACACAGAGTACAGATTATTGAAGAGTTTGAATTCTCAGGCGACTGTCACTCCCAGAAATACTCCAAGTGTTCACTTAGAGATCACTCGGAGGTCGCACAGTGCAGCGTAGTTCACTCAACACACACACACACACCTGAAACTATAGAAACACAACTCAGAGGTCGGTTAGGACCTACACTTAAGATTTTAAGGAGAAAGTCTCTCGCGAATACACTCAGCGGATCTGCGGGTAGTGACTCCCACCTCCGGATTTTACAACCCTTTCACTAGTTTCTGCTAGCGCAGGGAACCCGGATTGGACTTCCTACTTCGGATCGAAGTCACTCACACGCGGTGAACAACACACTCAACTCACAAAACGCGCAGAGAACACAGGTCCAACTGAGAGACTCAACTAAGAAAAGATCAAGTATCACATCATAACAGTCTATTGAAGAGTTTGAATTCTTAGGCACTTGTCATTCCCAGAAATACTACAGGGGTTGCCCTGAAGGCACCTGCTGCAGCGTAACCTGAATTTACAACCAAGGCTTACTCGAAGTAGCAAAACTTCACTTTGGCATTCAGTGGAAACATCCCGAAGGAGTACAATCAGCAACAATCACTCGAAAGTGTAAGGGGGAAATGTTGAAGTATCTAACTAGTTACTAGCTCTGAGCATCGGCAATCACTCGCAGGTGTAGATCCGAACTACTCAAGTCTCTAACCAGTGCACTAGCTTTGAACATTCGGCCGAAGGCTTTCAGCTACAAAATGCGGATCGCCAAGCTATAGCTCCTCTTGCGCGGTGACAAAACTAAGGACACAAACACGTAGAGAAAATGAGTTCTTGATCTGCACTTCCGAAACTGGAAGAATCCCAAGGCAAGACGCCTTGAACTATTTTATACCCTCTAAGTGCTAACTAACACTACACTACCTGCTATGGTGCGAGCCGCAACAGATCCTACACCTGAGGAGTCGGCGGATGCCTTCCCCTCTAACTTACAACCTAAATCTAACCCTAACCCTTAATCCGAATCCTAAGCCTACTATACAGAGCCGCCAACGTCTTTAACCGCTTTACATCCAAGATCTGAGGCTGAAAATTTGCACGCATGCGTGGCCGGCTGAGACCAACGGGCCCACAAAATTTTAGATCCATTTGACCGTCCATCGCAAAGATATGGGCCCCGCAAGATCTCTGAACCTAGGCCAAAATTCCTTCTCTAAAATCTGAGGTCCGAGGTACCCACATGCCGCTTGAATGCCGTTCCCGCGATTATGGGTAACGGCCTGCTCCTCACGTGCGACTTCACGCCCCGCTGTTTTGCTTCCCACACTTGACATAAACCCGCCAATTTCCGCCATCGGGAATCTTCTGCCACGTGGCGCCGAAAGCGTACCGCCGAAGGCCCTTGAGCCGAAGGCGCATCTTCCGGCGGCTCTTCCGCCGAAGGCGCTTGCCCCGAAGGCTCCCTATCAATAACTTCCGACACTCATAACTCATTGATATATTATCTGTTTCAAGCGTTCTTGGGCTCGTTAGAACGAGCGTGTCTAGTTCTTTCCAACGCGACCCTAACCAAGTCAAAGCGTTATGAATTGAGAAAGTTATGCGGAATCCAGTCTTCCGCCAAAGACACTCTCCCGCATCGCCGAAGTCGTATCCCCGAAGACGTCTGTTGCCGAAGGCGTTGACCTGAAGACCCTCCCTCTCAGTAACTTCCGACATTCATATCTCATTGATCTCTTATCCGTTCCAAGAGTTCTTGGTCTCGTTAGAACGAACGTGTTGAGGTCTTTCCAACGAGACCCTAATCAAGTCAAGACATTATGAATTGAGAAAGTTATGAGGGATTCAATCTTCCGCCGAAGGCCCTTGCCCCGAAGTCGCCTTCCGCCGAAGGCGTACCGCCGAAGTCGCTCTACTGCCGAAAGCCCCCCATCAGTAACTTACGACACTCATAACTCAGTGACCTCTTATTCGTTTCACAAGTTCTTGGGTTCGTTAGAACCAGCGCGTCAAGCCTTTTCCAACAAGACCCTAAGTAACTCAAGGCGTTACGAATTGAGAAAGTCATGAGTGATCTACCGCCAAAGGTGCTCGAAGCGGGTCCTGCACCATGAACCGCCCGTTCCATCCCAAACGTTCGACTATGGCCTAAGCCCAAAACCCCTTGACTGTACTCGATCCTCTTTTTACTCTGGTTTTGCGTACCGATTACTATTTACAGCTGCTACCACGGTACTTACTATTCAAAAATGTTTTAGTTCCGACGAAAAACAAAAAGTGGGTAACCACAAAAAGCCTTGCACAAAAAAAAAAACATGTGATTTTCACTTAATAAATCCTTCAGAAATTGAAATTGAAATGTGATCATTTGTCACGAAAGATGAAGAAGAAGGTTTCACCATGACGAGCTGCCCATCATGAACCAACTAAGCAACAAGACATGCTAGGGCAGAGAGATCTTCTCAAATCAGTTCATTTCCACATATTTATGCAAGAGAATAATATTGAATTCAACGATAATGATGAATGAAAATAGAATTATAAATTATAACCTTATTTTATGATATATCATTGTAATTATATTAGTTATTAGCCTAGGTTACATGTATTATCTTCCTTGTATGTTGCTTGATATGGAATAAGTGGAAAGTACTTATACATTTGAGACCTTTATATTTATACCTTAGACCAAATACAGGATAAGTAGCATATTCTATATAAATTACAGGATTCTTGAGAAGAAAAGTAGGGCCCGGACTTTAGAAAGAGTATGTACAATATTTTGATCTAATAACTATAACATAATATGTGTCTCTTTGTATTATAACTATAGAATTGATTTCTTGATTTCTTAAAAATCATATTTTAATTCAATTCAATAATAACATAAACCTAATAAAAGTTTAAAAGCATTCTCATTTTCGTTTATATATTATAAATTGATTTCACAGTGATGATGTTATGTACATGTCTATCCACATCTTTATTATTGAGGTGTGAGTGTGCTACTACAGTATAGAGAGGATGGATTCAAATAAATCCATGTTCATCTGGATTTCATGATAAAACTTCTAATGATATCATAAAATATTTGATGTTCATGATTGCTTGCAAAAATGAATACACATGTGGATAAGGTTATAAAACATGAAATATGAAGGATGGGATTTGGCTTCTTTCAAAATTATCACAAGGATATCACTGTATCTAATTGGTTGTATCTCCTATATTAAACATATTGTTTATATTATTTTATAGATATCATTATAGAAGATTATTTGTAATAAAATATCATATGAAATGATTATCTATCCCAAAAAATATATTTTATGTTATACATGTTTACTATTATGAATATGTTCGGATTGAATATTGTACCTCTATTCTTAAAAATTGTTGTATGTATTGTTGATTTGACGTGTTCTTCCATGGTTCCTCTCCACTTGGGACGCTCTGGTTGGTTCATTGCGCTATACCCGTCTATGACTTTAAGATACATTATCGTGACGGGTCAAGTCAACACTCAAGTTCAAGACTTAAGGTAAGATACGGTAAGTAAATGTTTATTTGTACCATTCCAGATTAAAGTGACCTCGAGAAGCAGATGTTCATCATGTTCAAGGAAAAAAATAGAATGTCTAGTCTATTAAGGCGGGCAAAATGCTCGGCCTTTCCTACTATCAGATCATGAACTAATTTAATAACAATTACACCGTCAGGTCTATCTCCAGCGAGCACGATTTAAGAGAAGGATAAGTAAGCTTTCAGAAATAGCCACCATGGACGTACAGAAAGACTCCTCCATCCATGATTACAAGTGTCTCAGATTAAAGTAAAGTAGCTCCAGTGCCAAGTATGATGGGAAGTGCAAGACCCTGAATGAGAGCAATCGGAAGGAGCGGCAAGCAGACCTTGACTTTGACCTTGACCCCGAGGAGTATCCGTAATATTGAACGGCTTTAGGCCCTTTCGCCTCCAGAAACTATTATATAAGCCAATAGCAAATGCATAGCTCCTCGAAGAGATTACTTGTGCAGCAGCTTCCTAATCTTGTGCAGGATCTTCTCGATGGGGCAATGCCCAACCTGACACCTGTAGAAGTTAGCATATTGAGGTTTCTGTGGTCTATTCACACGTCCGGGTGTTCAGAGATCACACAATATTCGGCCCATCTTTGAGATTCACTTTGACATTGAGTCAGTCTCAGATCCTGCAGACTCGCAAACAGAACAATGTGACATAACTAGCACGTATTCGAATTTTCTATTCCGTGTATTCTACAGATAACCAATTTGCACGTGCTATGGTGTCTCACATACGTCGCAAGAGATCGTAAGCAGGGGTTTGTCGAAATCATGATCAATCATTATACACACATTCAGGGCAGCTCCTTCCTCAGACTTCATCACGAAAGCCTCAACATTCCACATTTTCAAAATCAGTTCACAGTGTCAATTGACGCTTGCTCCTCTGGTCGCCACTCAAATTAGCTGAAGATTCTGTATCTTGTTGTCAGTGGACAGTTGATTCTCTCAACCCGAATAATCAAATCACTGCAATCAACTTAATATATGGATCTGTGTGATCTCGGGCATCCATGCATGATATTCATCCTCGGTTCACCACCACAAGCGGACGTAGGCCAGGCCAGGAGACAATCACGTGAGCTACCAACTGAAGCCGGAAACAGATCAGTCTCGTCAAACAAGAGAAAGAAGAAAAGAAAATCTTGTACATGTCCCTGGAGGGTCATATTCCTGATCACAAGCCACCTGGAGCTCGAGGATGGGGTCGGAACAGGTCACGTGCGGAAAAGCCTCGAGAAGAATATGACCTCATGGGGAGCTTTACTCGGATGATGCACCTCTTCGACCTCGTTACCCTTCCCCTTCCTCTTCCTCCTTTTGTGCTGAGCCGAAAGTTCCAAATGCATATCTAGCTACCTTGCAGCTCAGACCACCGCAACATGCCATCATGAGCTCGAGCCAAGCTAGGTTCTATCGACGGAAGGCTCCATACTAGTTCATTAAGCAGGAGCGAGTAGATTGCAGAAAGGTTCATAAGGTTCGCACATTTGCATGAATTTCGGGTCGCTCACCGTCGAGAGGACCGAGAAGTCGAGAAGTAGTGAGCTCGGAGTAGTGGATCTCGAATTCTAGGAGCTTTTTAGATATTTTTAGCTAAGTCATTACATGAGCGACTAGGTCTTTACATAATCGTGAATCAGATCGCTGGATTCGTTTTCTGTACTGATAGTGTGAGAATTATTTCGTGTTCTGAGGTTGTGTGATTCGTCTTGAATATCTGAACGAGGATGAGAATTCAGGTTCAGTGATGGAAGATCTCAGCCGGATGTAGCTACAGGAACTCTCTATCTCATCTATCGTATCGTCGTGTCGCTCCGAGATGTCAGCCATGAAATCGCAGTCAGGTAAAATCTAGAAAACCTCGCAATCTCTCGCTCCGATCAGCTCAGCTCAAACCCAGCCCAGTTCAACGAGAGACTCAACCGAAAACTAAAACAATCCTAATCGACCGAACACATATTGTCGACAGCGATGGCCTCGTCACTCGTCCTCTGTCTCGTGTCACTGCTGATGGCGACGATCTCGACGACGACGTGTTCTCCGCAGGAATTGAATCCAGATGTAAACTCAGACCCGACCGATCGGCCCTCTGGAAGCACGGGGCGACCGGAGACGGCCGAGATGTCCGGCGGTCCGTGGCGCAGCATCCAGGCCGAGATGGTGCACAAGGACCACCCGCTGCGGGCAGCGCCGGGCAGCCTGTCGTTCAAGGAGAGGGCGGAGCGCGACTTCCAGTCGAGCAGGAGGCGGTTGGAGGTGCTGCGGTCGCGGCAAGAGCGGTGGCTGGCGGGCGGCGGCGGGCTGCCGACGTACGTGAGCAACATGACGACGAGCGCCAACGAAGAAGAGTACGTCATGATGATCTCGCTAGGCACGCCGGCGCAGAACTTCCTCGCGATCGTAGACACGGGAAGCGACCTGACGTGGCTGCAGTGCCAGCCGTGCGCGGACTGCTTCCCGCAGGCGGACCCGCTGTACGATCCGTCGCGTTCCTCGTCGCACGCCAACCTGACCTGCGCCGACAGCGCGTGCCAGTGGTTCACGTCGCAGTACCCGGACTTTACGCACCCGAACTGCCCGCTGGAGTCGGGCTCGAGCTCGAACGCGAGCTGCAACTTCTTCTACGCCTACGGCGACGCCTCCAATACGACGGGCGACATCGCCATCGACACCATCCACCTGACGTCCACCGACGGCGCCGTCGTGGACGTGCCGAACTTTCTCTTTGGGTGCTCGCAGAGCTCCTTCAGCGACTCGGGCCTCTTCTCCAACGACGGGATCGTCGGGCTCGGCCGAGGCGGCATCTCCTTCCCAACGCAGCTCGGAGCCAGCTTCGGTTACATCTTCTCCTACTGCCTGGTCCCCGCCACGGGCGTCGCGACGCAGACGAGCCAGCTCATCTTCGGGAGCGCCGCGACGTCCAACGCGACGGGCATCCAGTACACCCCGATCCTCTCCAACTCGACGTTCTACTTCGTCGGGCTCCAGGCCATCAGCGTCGCGGGCCAGCCGCTGGGCATCCCCAGCTCCGTCTTCGCCAACAACGATACCGACTCCAGGACGTACTTCGACTCCGGCGCGACGTTCACGTATTTGCATCCCCAGGCGCTGGACGCGCTCGTCACCGCGCTGGTCGCCGCGATTCCCTTCCCGCAGATCCCCATCACGATAAACGGCGTCGATTACTGCTGGAACGCATCGGGCCTTACGGACGCCGATATCGCCGCGCGCGTCCCGACCGTCTCGTTCAACTTCACCGGCGCCAACTACGACCTGTCCTACGACAACACGTTCCTGACCTTCGACGACGCGAGCTTCTGCCTGGTCATCTTCAGCGTCCCGCTCGGGTCGGCGTCCATCATCGGCAACCACCAGCAGCGCAACGTCTACATGGTGTACGACCTCGCCAACAGCCAGATCGGGTTCGTTCCGCGCAACTGCGACGACTCGGTTTCCGTCTAGCCTTCTACCACCAACGACACTTCGTCCTCTTCCTGGTCTGCCTCCGCCAGCACCAGGTTCAGAGCCGGACTGGAGAGCGTGATGACGCGCGTCCTCCTTCTACAAGTGTTATCGGTCCTTTATTTATATCGTTTATAGAGTGTTGTAGATATCTCCCGTCGCTAGCTTAGGAGGGTTTTAGATTTTGCCATGATTCTCTGCTTGTAAGAAAACGCCGTGCCAAAACTCTGTCAATGTACATTTGTAGATATTACGTCTGCAGCCTTCGCAATCCAAAGCTTTTGTGAGCTCTTTTGCCCACTACTAGTTCCAGATTTACATGAAGAACGTATTACGACTCAAGCTCGAGATAGGAAATGGCTGGAAATCACTCACTCATGGGGTTCAACATTTTTTCCACCGGGATTCTGAGCTGCGATCTGGAGCAGCTTCGTTTTGGATCGCCGTCATGAACTAGTGAGTGATGCGAGTTCCATTGTTTTCGAGTGCTCCATGGAAGGAAGGCCCGCAGTTATTGAGCAGGTTCGGTTGTAGTCGTGCATGCAAATCGAAAGCGAGAGATCGAAATCTCGGTTCGGACAGATTCAGATTCGCACACGCATCAGAAACAGAGCAATTTCTCCCTCGAATGAATCGATGATATGTTGAACGAGCGAGAACTGGGAATGCATAAGCTTGCAAGCGCACCAGAAAATGCACATCAGTTTTCTGTAAGGATTAAATTTTCCCCACATAGAACAACAGAGCTTCGTTGTCTTTGGTTCATTTGCATGGCTCCCGGTCGGACGTGAATCTGGATATAGATTGAGAGTTCGAGAGATAGTGGTGACTCACCGCCTAGTACACTTACATTTATGACAAGATCCTTGAGTGTAGAAGAAGACGATGGATGCATCTACTCTGGGCTCGACTACCTGGCTCACAGTAATTCCAACCCGACATGTTGGTATAAAATCACGACCGGTTGATTCTTCATCACACTGAGGAAATCTACCCTCGGTGGTTACATTGGACATGTGTAATAACCCACCAAAGGCTAAAACTGCAGTATGGTGGTAAAAAGATCAAACCCACAGGGACAGAGGCAACACACAGAGTAAAAGTGTCCCGTTTAACAGACTTTTGTAGAGTTTGAATTCTCAAGCGACTGTCACTCCCAGAAATACTGCAGTGCTCGACTCGGAGGCTCGACTCGGAGGAGGATACTCGACTCGGAGGATGCTCAGAGGATGCACAATACAGCGTAGTTACTCAACACACACACACACACACACCTGAAACTGGCAAAAGCACAACTCGGAGGTCGGTCAGGACCTCCGCTTCGGATTTCAGGGGGAAAATGTTTCACAAGTTCACTCAGAGGCTCTGCAGGTAGTGACTCCCACTCCGGCTTTTACTGCCCTTCCGCCAGGAACTAGCGTAGGGAACCCGGACTGGACTTCCCACTTCGGAACGAAGCCCCTTCATACGCCGTGGACGTCACCCTCGACTCACACCAAACGCAGGGGGTACAGGCCCGACTGAGAACTTAACTGAGACACAATCCCGTAACACACACACACAACCTGAATTGCAAACCAAGGCTTACACGAAGTAATAAAACTTCACTTTGGCATTCAGGGGAAACTTCTCGTAGGAGTACAATCAGGATATGTCACTCGAAGGAGTAAAGGGGAACTGTTCAAGTCTCTAACTCGCAGCCGGCTCTAAGCATCAGAAATCACCCGCAGGTGCAGATCCGCACTACTCAAGTCTCTAACCGGGTACTAGCTCTGAACATTCAGCCGAAGGCCTTCAACTACAACATACGGTAACTTCGATATGCTGCAGCTTCTCTACGTGGTGCCAGGACCAAAATGCACAAACACGCCAAGAAAGTGAGTTCCTGATCTGCACTTTCGCAACTGGAAGAGTCCCAAGGCAAAACGCCTTGATCTACTTTATACCCTCTAAGGTCCTAACTAACACTACGCTATCCTATCTACTACTCGCAACACCTGCACGAAACCAAACTACGCTACTGCACTCTGCAGATCCGGTGCTGCGCCTCCTGCGCGCTGGACTGCCTCGCTCTCTATCTCTACCTTGCCAATCTTCCGACCGGCTGCGCAACCCCAGACGCCGGAGGGCTGCAGTCACTTCCGACTCCAAGTGCGCCATAGTGTTGCGCGCGCCCGACAAGAAGGCTTCTAATTTCCTTGCTACTCGCCGCCGACTCCGACTGTCACCCTCCGTCAATGCCGCCGCCCGAAGCTCAAACTCCCTGAGTGTGATCTTCTCTTGAGCTGCCACCTCCCAATGGGCGTATCTTTTTAGACAGTGAGTCACCCGCGTCGCCAACTCTTCTCGCGTCCGGCAGCTGCCTTCCACCTCTGCTAGCTGTATTTCCGCATCTGCGCGCTGCGCCCTCAAATCCGCGCACTCGGATTGCAAGTTGCGCAACAATTCCTCATCCTCCTTGCGTGTACTTTGACTTTCTTCTAAGGCGCGCTTCTGGCGCGCAAGCTCTTCTGCTAAGATGCGGTTTTGTCTCCGCTCTTCCTGCAATTCCGACTCGATCTTTGCCCGCATTAGCTCGGCATCCGCCTGGTTTTTCGTCGCCGCATCCTCCCTCTGTTGTTGCAGGGTTTGGTATAGCTTCTGCGTGACCTCCAGGTGCTGTCGGAGGGTAGTGTTCTTATCCTGCAATGTTTGGCACCTAGAGGCCCAAGTGGCCACCTTGCTCCTCGTCTTGCGTTTGACAGTCTCCACGTAAGACTGCGGTTTTCCGGTACCCGAGTACTTGGATGTCTTGCGATCCAGATATCGCAGGAGTGGAACTATCTACTCGCACAACACCCCTGTTGGCGTTTTCTGCACAGAGTCCGCTTCCTGCTCTTCCGAACTCGTCTCATCCTCCGTTTCGAGGATTTCAGTCGCCACCGAATCCCTTGGCGACTCCCTAGAACTGTGGCGCGCAGTAGCTTCCGCCGCGACTGCCGCTCCACTCCCTGCTAAAATATCCAAGGCAGTGGGGGATCCCACTGCTTGAGCCCCTGTTCCGGCTCGATCTTCGGTTTCCGAAGGGGTCGACGCCGCAGTGACTTTTGTCACCTTTGCACCGCCCGCTTCTGCCTGCCCTTCCGGCGCGATCTGCGCGGAAGGTGTCTTCGCTGGAGGTGCGTCCGCCAAAGGCGTCCGCACAATGGTCGCCGGCCCTGTCCGTCTCGCAGTCGGCGAATCTGGCCGACTCTCTGTTGAGCGACTCACAGTCGGCCGACTAGCAGGTATCTGACTGGTAGTCGGATCTACCTTGCGCGTCTTCACTCCACTTGGCCTGCTTGCTGGCGGCGTTTTCCCAGAAGTGCCTTCTGCCGAAGACGACCCTCTGAGGGTTGTTGGCTCGTCAGCCAAACTCCCTTCTGCTTCCGGCCTGCTGTCCGGTTCAACGCGCCGCTCAGTCGGCCTTCCTTCCGTTTGTCGACCTTCAGTCGCCCGACTCGTAGTCGGCCGACTGTCAGTCCGTCTGTTTTCTTCCGAAGGCATTGGTGCCTTCTGCGCAGAGGTATTTGCCGACTTCCCCAAAATCTGCGCGATTATCTCCTCCTGCGTGGGCAGGATACTCCGCCGGACCGGAGTACGCCCGGTCTCCTCAGTACTAATTGGCACTTTGCGTGCCCTCTGTTTCGGTCGGCTGTGAGGCTCGTTGGTTGGCCGACTACGAGTCGGCGCAGCTGGCACTTCCGGCTGCCTGTCCTCAGGTCTCTCATCCCATTTCCGCTTTCGCGGAGCACGCTCACTTCGACGTTCTTCTGCTGCTCTTGCTGGAGGCGGAGCCGGAGGTGGACTGGCAGGTGCCTCGTCCGGATCCGTGTCTACTTCGGCCTCCCGCGAGTATCTTCCTGGATAGCTCCGGGTCAGCAGCGGGAACCGTGTCCGCTCCGACTTTGTCAAACATCCCATCGCCCGATAAAACACAATCAGGTAAGGCGAAAGATGATTGAGGGTTAATCCTCTCTCTTCTTGCGCATGTTGGCGCGTCACCTTCCACAGGAGCCGTGCCCAATGAACTGGAGCTCCTGACAACACTAGCTCCACAAATCCTACTTGCCAACCATGCATGTAAGCGGTCTTGGTCGGCTGCAATATCTGCAGCAATGCAGTCGCGACATTTCTCCGCAATCGATCTTTGTAATCCCGTGTCCGGAAACCGTTCTTGGGATGCCTCGCAACTTTGAAGAGCTCATTGTAGGAGATTTCTTCCTCCTTGGACACCTTCACGCTATCGGCCTCGAAGAGGAGATACCCTTCCTCGCCGGCACACCTGCCCAACACCTGCGCCCAGTCACAAATGTTCCACCTCTCTGGATGTGGGCGGAATCCGCGCGAGGGCTTGTGTCTCTCCTGCAGATATTCGCGCACCATCTCCGGACATGTCCAGTTCCATCCCCACAGGAGGAAATCGAGCTTCAACCCTGTTAGCACATCTTGGAATGCGCGCAGACCGATCTGCGGCACTCTGAGTGGAGACACTCGCAGCTGGGGGACCTTCGACATTGCGTTTCCTGCACACACAGACGTTCTCCCTTCCGCTCGCTCTCTCACAATTGCCGCTGCGCGTCGGCCGCTCCAGCACTGATTGCAATCACTCTCTCTTCTTGCGCGCTCAAGTTCGCTACTCGCAAGTTCTCTGCAAGGTCTGTCAAGATCCTTGCGCAACTAGTCTCCGCACTCTCTCCTCTCACTGCAGGTCTCTCCGCCCTTGCGCGTAATCTTGGAAGCTGGAAATCGCAAAATCAAGAATGAGAGAATGAGACTGGAGAGCAGTCTTTTCTTCTCCGAATTCAAGATCGTCCAACGTTCTTACTGGTTACAATTACGCAGCCGGCTATACGGCCTAACGGTTCGCCCTCGCATGCTCGAATTCACGTCTCCGCACTGCGCGCATTCGCATGCGTGAATGTTGAATTCTCCCGCCGCCACCGTCTTCCGGACTCGAGTTCGCCGCAGTGTATGCGTCG